ACAATTTGAACTTTGAAGGAGAAAGTGTCCTCTTTTTGATATCCTCTGACAACAAACTTGTTTATGTAAGGAAGTCGGGGGGCGGAACAACGGAGACTTTTGACCAGGTAGGTATACTTCCCAGGTGGTGTTATTCCTCCGAAAATGGATTCTGACAAATCGACATCAGGACAGCATCAAAAAAAGACAAAAGAGACCGATTGCGCTTTGAGACAGGTGGACTTCCCTCTCTTCATACATATGTATCTTCATCTTTCCATAGATTTAATTTAATTCTCTTTCTTTTCTCCGCAAACCTCTTCGCCCATCACTACAGTCAATTCATAATGATCACCTCATCTCTAGAAGGGCAGGAAACTGCATCGTATCATGCCAAAATTCCACCATCGAGGCAGGGTGATGGTAAGTAGCTCTCAAAGATATCCTGCAAAAGCTGGAGGTCTTTTAAACACGTTGACTAACTTATACAGATTTAGGTCTAGGTTCTGCACAGGTTGCGAACGATGAATATGTCTACATTGCCGATGGCTACTTAATGATTCGGCGGATCATCTTTATCATGACGGTGTGTTCATCTATGTTCACCAATCAGTTGGGCCTATGTAACAGCCTCACGACGCTCGAAATAGTCGGAGAGTCCTTTAGTGTCACCGACCCTGGTAAACTCTCATGGATAATCTCTGGCTACGGCTTGACTCTAGGCACATTCATCTTGATCGGAGGACGTTTGGGTGACGAGTTTGGCAACAAGGCAATCTTCATCATCGGTATGGGCTGGCTTGCTTTGACCAGCATGATGGCAGGACTCTCTGTCTACTCCAGCTACTCCGTCTACGTCCTTGCTCGTGTCCTGCAGGGCCTTGGTCCCGCCTTAACTGTGCCTAATGCACTCGCCATCATGGGTAAATGCTTCTCCCAGGGCCCTCGAAACATGGGGTTCGCATGGTTTGCTGCATCAGCCCCAGTCGGTGCGATGGCTGGTCTCCTCTTTGGGCCCCTCTTCGCCATGGCTTGGTGGCCATGGATCTACTGGAGTCAGGCTTTGGGGGTTGCCTTCCTCTTTGTTCTCTCTACCGTTGCAATCCCAAACATGCCTGTCGAGGGTGACCAAAACCAGCGACGAACGATACGCGAAATTTTGGACCGAGTAGATCTCCTCGGAAGTGCAAGCGGTGTGACAGCTCTGGTTCTGTTCAACTTCGCCTGGAATCAGAGCCTGGTCACTACGTGGGACGAACCTTACGTCTACGTATGCCTGATCCTCAGTTTCTTGTTCCTGGCGGCGTTCCTTTACATCGAACTTCGCCTAGCTCGCTATCCAATCCTACCTGTCGTCGTCCTCACTTCCGACATTGCCTTCGTCTTTGGTTGTACAGCAGCAGGCTGGTCCACATTTGGCATCTGGGTAAGTACTGATCTCTTTTCCCCGAAATTAAGTCAAACTAACGATATATCTAGCTTTTCTACGTCGTCCGAATATGCCTTGATATTGGTGGCCAAACTCCCATTCAACTGGCTGCATGGCTTTCTCCTATCCTCGTCACCGGTATAGCAACGGCATTGGTCGTTGGCAAAATAATCAACAAGGTTCCAGCCTCGTCCATCATGTTGTTTGCAATGTTTTGCTACTTTCTCACTTCCCTTCTCATGGCCTTGCGACCTGTACACTCGACGTACTGGACCTACTTCTTTTTCGCCACCATCATCGCCACCTTTGCAATGGATTCATCGTTGCCTGCTGCCACGATTATCTTCGCAGACGCAGTGCCTCGACAGTACCAGGGCATGGGATCTAGTGTGATCATGACGATTGTTGTCTACAGTATATCGCTCGGTCTCGGTTTCGCTGGTACCATTGAACTTCAGATCAACAATGGCGGACACACCGAGGCAGACTTGCTTCATGGTTACCAGGGTACTCTCTGGTTTTCTGTCGGGTTGACAGCATTAGGCACTGCTCTCGCCCTTATATTTCTACTCAAAGATCATCGAAGACGAAAGTTGGCCAAGAATCAAGAGGAAGAGGAAAAGGCTGATTCAACTGAGGCTTGAATGGTTGATGGATTGTTCACTAATCGACCATTCCTTGAAGCTAGATTAAAACTAGATCATATAAAGCTAGATTTATTAACCCATTCTACTAACTAGTATATAGGCCATTATCACCGTGCATCAGAGATTTGATGGTCCAATTGTGCCTGCTTTCAGTTAGCTTTACTTTTTTTTATTAGTGGTTCTCGCCAAGTCCTATTTATCCTCACTGGGTAAGTCTTTCTGATCTGTCATCATAGGGGTATACGAAAAAGAAGCATAAAATTAGGGCTTCTTTCCATGTATGAAGAAGATAGACGAATCAATTTATTACTTTTCACAGTGTATTAGAATTTTCATATTCATAGTATTCTTTCATGAAACTATTTTTGTCTCACTACGTACATGCTGTATAGAACGCTGTTTCTATAATCAACACGATATACGATGGTGTGCCAACCTAGGAAGGTCATCTTTTTGTTGGTGCATCTGTCTTTGGTTAATACACGCATCGGTTCAAATTAACTATATAACCTCAAGACGACCTCTATCCTTCATTGTACAATGTCAGTACATACACACTGTGAAACCGAGGTAGTATCCGCATCGCAGGCCCGAGCGCTACTAAGACCATAACTGGGACCAACTATCCTGCATGTGCATAAGCACGTATGACTACGACGACGCTACTGTAGGAAAATGCATCATATATGGCAACCAACTTTGCCTTTCCAATCATTCTCATCAACGTCCGATCTTGACATAATCCACAGCGATGGCCTCAGTCACCTCATACAGTATCGCCGTTTCGGACGAGAAACTCCAGCAGCTCCGCCACAAGCTGGAGTACACCACCTTCCCTGACGAGCTCGAGGCTTCGGGGTGGGATATGGGCGTTCCTCTCCTTGAGATCAAGAGACTTATCGCTGTGTGGCGCGAGCAGTTTGACTGGCGTGCGCAAGAGCAGAAGTTGAATGAGCAACTCCCGCAAGTCAATGTTCGAGTAGGAGTGAAAGGCTTCGGAGAATTTAATATACATGCCGTGCATCATCGGAGCAGAAATTCAAAGGCAATTCCATTACTTTTTATTCACGGGTGTATCTAGCCCTTGAAACTTCATCGGTGTCTTCATCGCGCTTGCTAATTTATTGTTCTCATACCAGGGCCCGGCAGCTTCCTCGAAGCCACCAAGATTATCCCGCTACTCACTAAGAACAATGGGGATGGCCCAGTATTCGATGTTGTCGCGCCTTCATTGCCCGATTTTGGATTCTCGGAGGGCGTCAAGAAGGCATGTTGAATACTATGTATCATCACTGATCAAATGCATCCTAACGACCAAAAAAGAGAGGATTCGGGCTGGCACAGTACGCCGAAGCTCTACACAAAGTGATGATCGCACTAGGCTACGAGGAATACGGCAAGCACTATCTGTGCCCACCAAAAAGAGACCAACTGACTCTAGAGCAGTGCTTCAAGGAGGCGATTGGGGAAGCATGATCGCCCGTACTATGTCTCAGTATTACCCCCAAAGCACCCAAGCCATCCATCTGAACTTCACGCCCGTCATACCGCCCTACCCATGGCGAAGTCCCTACCAATTCCTCAAATCGCTGCTATCCATCCCATTCTCAGCGAAAGACCGTGGCTACATCGCCCGCACAGTGGGATATATCACCCGCGGAAACGGATACTTAAGACAGCAAGAAACCCGACCACAGACGCTAGGCTACGGGCTTCACGATAGTCCCGTCGGATTACTAGCTTGGATCTATGACAAAATGCACACGTGGTCCGACAAGTACCCCTGGACGGATGAGGAGATCTTGACTTGGGTGAGTGTATACTACTTCTCCACGGCTGGGCCAATGGCGTCAACGAGGATCTACTACGAGGCCTCGGCGCCGAAGAGTAGTGGAAATGCGGCTTTGTCGGAGGATGGAGCTCAGGAGGATCTGCTGGAAAGAACGGACCTGAATTATATGTCGATGGAACAAGTTCTCGGGGCTCGGGCGCCGCAGAATGTCCGCTTTGCAGTGGCGCAGTTCCGAGAGGAGATTGTTATGTGGCCTATGGCGTGGTATCGGTCCATTGGGAATGTTGTACAGGAAACGGAGTATGACCATGGTGGCCATTTTGCGGCCTGGGAAGTGCCTGAATTGCTGGCATCTGATATCAGGAGGTTCCTAGGCAATAATGGACCAGCCTACGGGGCGGTAGCCGACAGAGATGGTTATTGAAGGTCTCGTTGGATTGCCGCTTGATCGAGGCATTTGGGGGATAACCTGCCCAGGTGGCGTGTGGCCTGTATAGCAACATGTTCTTATTTCCTGATTTTATATTCAATATTGTCCCTTGCCCATATGTTTGTTTGTCTCTTTAGTCCGACCTACTTGTCCTCTTTTCGGTGGATTGTGTTTATTTTGGCATCCGAGCAACCTCACGGAAAAACGAAGCAGACTTGCGTCGGGTTAAAGGCCTCTTGAGAAGTTGGACTCCTGGTAGGAAAACACCGTATAAGAGCACTATTCTTGGACAGACTAACCCAAGGGATGGGAGACAGACATCTAGTCCTCCCTAAAGGCCTTCTGGACACAGGCAACTAGCAAGTTACGAGGCCTGAACAAAGATAAAGGTCAGCCAAAGCTGCTCAACAGAATGGGATGGTTACTGATTCTCGGAAACTGGACTTCATCCGTTTCACTGGTTAATGCGTTGGATTGATAATGCAAATTGGAACACTGCCGTGACGTGACAACGGGGCCTTTTATTATCGTGATAGAAGTAAGAGAAACATGGAGTCAAAGGACAAATTGCCCTTCGGCTCAGGTATCAACCGCTCTCACGTTGCTCTTGTGCTATCCCGTCATTGATTGACCGTACACGGCATATATCATCCAGTGAAGACCGTAGACGCCGGGATTTGCCCTCAAACCAACGGAAAGCCCAAAACAACCACTTCCCCAAATCTAATCCTGTCGTCCCTTCAATAACCGCTGGGTAACCTTGTCCTTCTCTATAATGTAAACCTGGGCACCCCAACCGGAAAGAGCATCTCGGTCCACGGCGCTAAGCAGTGCTTGTGAGATTGTCTCGAAGAGGTCCTGGGGGCCTGTAACGACAAGATGTGTTAGACAACTATCCAGTAGAAGACATGATAGCACCAGTAATACATACCAGGTCAGGCTCCCACAGACCCTCGCAAGTACCGAAGAGCTGGTCGCTTGCTGTTCCGCTGACAATGAAGTCCTTGGCAAAATCGATACAGCCAATGCTGTCAAAGCCGCAGATGAACGGCTTCCCCGTTGTTGGGTTGATACCAGCCAGCACAGGGCTGACAAAGTAAGGACCGAAGCGCTTCTCATACAGCGATGAGCTCACTAGGTTGGCGAGGGTCTGCGGTGCGATATCGCGCTCCTCGCGCAGCCGGTACATGTTGACCTTGTAACGGAAGAGATCGGAGACAGTGTTGACATCGGTAGCGAGGCCAGTCAGGCCGAGATAGGTGGATGGAGCGTAGTTGAAGATCTTGGGGAAGTTGTTGGAGATGGTCAGGGACTGCATGCCCAGGCGAAGGTCACAGGCGATGGCGACGCAGTCCTTGCCCACCATGGCGACACATGCACCGCCATCTGCAGAACGATTAGCATTTCGGTTGGTTATTCATGAGGGACAAAGTTCCGGCATACTGATGTCGAAGGGGTTGGACTGTGATGGGAGAAGTCGGTCAGCTTTGAGGTCCAGATATTCGTGGACGGTAGGGACAAGGGCGCATTTTTCTTACCATTATTGCAGTGATTCAATACAATTCAATATAACGAAGAGATTCCAGAGCTAAAGCACAAGGAAAAAAGAAGAGAAAATGTGGTTGAGAAGGGGTCGGGTTGGGGGGGAGGTGATGGAGGTGACTTGATGACGGGGAAGCTCTGAGGTACGCGAGAGCTCAGATGACGCCCGCACCGCTGCCTGTTTCGTATGCGACCTTCGACTACTTTCTGCGCCTCTTTCTCCCCGCAGTCGAGTTTCACACTTCTTTACTTCGATTTGTGCATTTCAAATCTCTTTATTGAGATACTGAACTTTCTCTATTTATTGTTAGAGCTACTGTTCTCCATACACAATGAGTGCCCACGTTGTGGTGATCGACGCGACAGCCAGGCGGGCAACAATCAAGACTACGCCCGCCAAACACTTGACCGATATCCTACAGGAAGCATGTTCTAAACTTGGATATAATGCTAGCCAGTACTCATTAAAGTAAGTTAGTCTTCTTTATTCTCCGATGACAACACTGACCCGGTCTATTCTATGCAACAGACACAATCGCAAGCAGTTAGATCTTTCTCTTTCCTATCGTCTGTCTGGTCTCAGCTCTGGCGCAAAGCTTGAACTTGTTCAAATATCTCGCTCTCCGTCAGTCGTAACCGTTGGCCTGCAACTGCCCGAATCTGAGGCTCGTGGTACCCCGAATGGCCGCATACTTGATAAGTTCCCTAGTACAACTACACTCTGGATGGTACTACGGAAGTTTGAAGCGGGAGTCGCAGGAACTGGCCCGGCACGGAATCTTACTTCACGGGCAGTGCCCTCTGCCGATGGTGGAGATGTGGCCGGACGACTGTACTATGAGATCCCCGTCCTTCAGATTTTGGAACGTGAAGTATCAAGTTTCACAGATCTACAAAAAACTTTAGCCCAGCTAGGTTTCAACAGTGGCAATGTTCTTATTCGACTCAGTTTCCGACGGACCGAGGAGCCTATCGAAGAAGCCATGGTCAAGATTGGCGAGTTCTTCAAGTCCTCGGAGGATGAGGTTCCTTCAGTGCACGATAAGAACACAGCGCCCTCCGCAGCGCCAGCAGCAGCTCCCATTGACGGCACAAGCAAGGAGCCTGTTCAAGAGCCCTCCGGCTCATTGCAGCCTCAGCCCTCCAGCGTCACCGCCGCATCTGATGTTACCCCTCCTCCACCCATCTCCGAACCGGCTACTTCCACAGTCGACTCTGGTCGAACGGTTACTGTCTTTTCCCCTCCCTCAGAAGACACTCCTTCGTCGGCAAAATTAGACTACAATGAGAGTGATTACATACCCACTATCGAGCACGCAAAACTGCACCAGCGGTTACTCAACGAGTCCTCTCGCCCAAAGCGCCTGCCAACGGACGCCGAGATCGCCGCCAAGGAAGAGGCAGAAGCGGCAAGGCGAGCAGCAATTCGCGAAGTCAATGTGAAGGTCCGCTTCCCAGATCAGAGTCAAGTCGTCGCCAAGTTTGGGGCGTCGGACACAGGACTGTCGTTGTATGAATTCGCACGAGGGTGTCTTGCGCCACCGTTCGCCAGCGAGAACTTCATTCTCACTGTCCACGGTGTATCCCGATCCAAACATACGAACGCCATACCTCCATCAGACAAAAAGCATCTGATTAAAGATCTAGGGCTGGCTGGCCGTGTGCTCGTCAACTTCTCTTGGGCTGACAACGCTGCCTCATTTGTTCATGGACGCCAAGCGGAGATCCTACGCCCCGAGCTTCGGAGCCAGGCTCAACAGCTCAAGGTGGAGCAACCGCCGGAGCTCAAGGAAGAAGATGTACCTGTTCCCTCTCAGCCTGGTCCAAGTAGCGCTCAGGGCGGTGATAAGCCCAGCGGGGCACGGAAGAGTGGCGGTATGCCTAAGTGGCTGAAGCTACCGGGTAAGAAATGAAATCGAGATAATGGAATGTATTTGGTTCAGGTGAGCGACATGTGCTGCTCTTGATGATCATGAATTGACTATGTGACGTATCTTGGAGACGCATCAAAATCTTATGTGCAGATAGACTTGAATCACATGCCCTTCGAATATCATTTGCATGGATAGCCTCAATGACAATGTAACAATCTAGACTAGACACCAAATGCATGGTGTATATGCAATGCCATTGGGACATTGTCGACTCTGCACACATATACATGAAGTCAAACCTCACTCAGCTATACTTGGGCAATCATACGCTTTTCTATCTACTTTGTAAACCTGCATTTAGAAAGTGGCTCAATTGCAAATATCACACGTGAAATGGTTGAATAATTGTTTTCATTATGGTTTCACTCCATACGATAGAGAAGGAATCCCATATTTGCCTTCCCCTCCATGCACGCCCAATGGCCACGAAACCCCCTTTCCGATCCGAGAATCACGCTTTTTTTGCGTCGAGTCGTTAAAACGAAAGAAAAACAGGAACGGGTCGGAAAATTTAGTGAGTAGCACCGGTGCGGCGAGACTCAGCAATAACCTTCTGCATGGACTCAACCTTGGCCTTGCCGCGGCCGAAAGTACCGAGCTGGATATGAAGTTAGTAAAAGCCACAAACTCAATGGACCGACTGGGCGGGCTCTGATCCTTGTGGAAATCGTTTGGTTTTGGTCATAGATCTCGGTCGCTGGTGTACAGAACAGTAATTGCACGGACTTGTCAACGCAGAGATTGAAATGAATCTTCCTCTGCAGGATTGACGTGCAGGGCCCATACAGTACGAATCTGGTAAACCAAGACCTCCACCAAACCGACCCAAATCCAATGCAATCCATGCAACAGAGCCAACCAGACGAAAGCGGGAAAAGGTTTGAGAGTAGACGTACGCGCTTCTTAGCAAGCTTACGGGCACGCTTGTCCTGGGCGTTGCGCAGCAACTCAATGATGCGGCGCTCGTAGGGAGCGAGACCAACGACCTCCTGGGCGATTTCGCGGACGAAAGCGGTGCGGCGGGAAGACTTGCCCTTGGTGCGGGAGATGCGGGTCTTGGGGGTGTTGAGGGCGGTGGTTTTCTATATCAGAAAACAGTCAGTATGTCTGTTTCGCTAAGTCTCATGTAGCGGCCGCAGGTCCCAGTCCTCTTGAATTCGCGTTTCGTGTCTGTTGTCGGGATAGTTCATGGCGTTGTTCGATCATGGGAGTATGCAGGGCGAGTACTGGCTTCCGTGCCAAAGTTGAATCCAAAAAGTGTTCCCGTGACATCGAAATCTTTTCCAGCGAGTCTGATATTTTTCCAATGGGCGATTCGATCCCAATCCTCCTTGCCGTGATAATTCCCAGTGTTTCCGCGATAGCCCGTGACTCGACTGGTCTTGAGTGGACCAACAGACCGAACGAAAAGAAGAGACATTGGGAGACCTTCAAACGACCGAAAAACATGGTGCAAGGAGACAGTAAGAACGTACCCGGCCCGCGTTGAGTCCGACCACAATTCCGGAGCGTTCGGCCATCTCGACGGTTGTTGACTGAAGGGGTTGGCGGAGGTTGTCGAAGAGGAGGTGAGGGAGCCGTGTGAAAATCGCCTGGTCTTTTGCCTGGAACCGCAAAATGGAGCCTTGGCGTTGGTGCGGTAGGCGAGTGACTAGGGCTAGGGCTGGATTAATCGGGACTAGTGTATTTTCCTAACACCTCAGGCATGTAACTCAATATATCTTGGCATAAACACGTGATAGAGGCTTGCCCTCTTTTTATAGATCTACCTCTTACTACCTGAACTGCATCTCACTAGTTAACAGCAACTCTGTGATGGATTTGGTTTACATGTACTTTAACTATGTATTTTCATGGACACATGATTCATTCCTTGTATTTCCCGACACTCAGCAATTAAAGCCTGGCAGCCAGTACTCCATCAAGTGCCTCCTCCCAGCTCTCCCTCAGCTCTCCGCAGAACAATTCAAGCGCAGATTCGTCCATCACCTTTTCTAACACTTCTTGGAGCGGTTTCTCGTATTCATCGGTTGCATTGCCACACTTGACCATGTCGATGAGTGTACTGAGAGTCGCTGATTCGACAAGGCTCTGTTTCAAACTTCGCGTGTTCGAACGGACATCCTCGAAAACCTCACGGACAAGAGTATTCAGTCGCTTAATTTGCTCGGCAGGGAGTTTGGCAGTTTTCAATGCCTTTCGAGAATCCAGGTCGAAAATATTCCATAGAGCCTTGAGGGTCTCCACCAGGGTCCAGATGGCATGGAAATAATCCCATGTCGGCGCACCCGGTGTACCTGGCGTGAACTCGATGGTCGTTCTCATGATAAGAGAAGACTTCTTGGTGTCTTCTAGGGCTAGGTCCTCTCTCTTAGCCTTCAACCAATCCTCTACTTCACCAAGAGCAATCTCAATTTCGGCGGAAGTACGGGCCTTGGATCCAGCCATAAACATAGCCACTTTCAGCAATTCGACGTGGACCTTGGTCGCGTCCCTCTCGGCGTCAGTATGATCATCTCCAGTCTGGGAGAGCGATAATTTGTCGATTTGGGGCAGCTCTAGCTTCAAAACGACTGGCTTCTGACTGCCGATGCTCTCAAGAACACTGAAAAGTCGATCAGTGAGCCGGGCGGATGCCAGCCAGTTTTCCTATATTGATATTAGTCGGTGCGGTGGTGTCATTCAACCAAAACAAACTTACCCCAGGAATTGGGCCTGCGCGCAATCGGTGCTCAAATGGAGATTGATCACAACGTTCCAGGTTCATGAAACCATCATACTTCCGGTGGTCTTGAGCCGGTGATGTATCCTGGGCTATATGATAGTTAGTATTCAAGTATGTCAGGGGTACATGAGAGACTGAGAATTGCTGACCGATGTCTTCGTGGAGGACCAAGTGGTTTCCTTTGCGAATTCTTTGCATCCGCCGTAAATCCAGGGCCCACATTCTCCGGCAGATACTGTCCCTGATACGTCTGTGAAGCTCGATCGTGTCGTCTAGACCGACATAATTTCCATCATCGAGTCCTTTTATCAACGAGTTTTTGATAGTGACGTTTGCATTACGATAAAAGTCGAGAGCGGCGATAAATGCGACTTGAGCGTCAAAGTCCTTGTATTCTGCACCCTCAATAGGAGGCGCGGGGTGAGGGTGGATGGTGGCAAAGCGGGTGAAGAGGTTATGAGCAACACTCTCATACTGCATTTGCTTGACAGACAGCTTGCCAAACCACCTCAAAGCAATGGAACCAGCACCGAGAAGAAGGTAGATGCGAATCAACATAAGGATTGCCTCATAGTTATGGGGTGAATCGATCAGAAGACGTTCCAGAATACCGGCGGCGCGAATCAGGGCAGTGTTGTCGACTTTCTCGGATGTCTGGCCAGCTGGGATGGGCTGAAGAAGGGCCATTGCGGCAACGATGCAGAAGTCATCTGTGGGCCGACTTTCCATCGTGGAAGCAGTATCTGGTTGGTTTTCTTTCTTTGGGTCCTGGGTCTTTGCTAAAAGTGTGAATGCATCGTAAAAGTAGAGGCAATTGCGCACAAGAGTCTCGATGCTGGATTTCGATGCGTTCTTGTTGCCTGAAATTCGGTCGCAGTAATGCAACTTGTACGCGTTGATCAATGGAATGGCATCGTCCTGGGAAGTGGATTAGCTCGCATTGACTGAGTTTAGCAGAATTTGCACTTACGGGTTTCCCCTCGACACTGTCCATGCAATGTTGAGCTACTCTGTGAATCAAAGTATCGTCACGGGTCTCCAAGACCCCTCGCAAGTCTTTAAAAGCATAGAGTTTGTGCTTGTGTTGGTCGAAGTATCTTTGGCACACAACAAACAGATCATCCTCTGTCAGCTCGCCCCGTTTAAACCCGGTTAGGACTATGTCCAGGAGAGCGATGTGCGCATTGCGGGACTTCGGGATAAATTCGATGAACTTCTCGATATGCTGCTGTGTGTCGGAAAGCAGCCTACCAAGCAAGCAATCATTTGTTAGCTGAGATTTAATGCTGTAGAGGTAGAATATTGGAATACATACCCCGGAATCTTGTCAAGATGACGCACAGCTACGATGAGCAAATTCCAGTATTTCCAATCATCGCGCTCATGCAGAGTGCTGCGCTCTGCTTCGTTTTCAGATACGGCAAGCAGGCTTTTGGCGTATGAGTGCCCTTCTTCCCAGAGTCCGGCAAGCCCCAAGGCAGTGACTTTAATTAACATGAAGCTCCTGTCATTATTAACAATCCGAGAGCTGAGACCAACATTCTCGCTATTAAGAAGCTGCACAATCTCTGCATAATGACCCTGCGTTTCGAGAATTCGAATAACCAAGAGAAGTTCCCCGGCGGTTTGTATGGCTCTCGGAGGGCTTAACAATTCGGTCTGTAGTAAGCCATTTGAATAATGCCCAGTCAGTCATTTATGTCCAAATCGTATATCCAGTGAGCATGTAGTAAGTAATCACGTACCGGGTTAGAGGGGACCTCGGATACTGCCTTCTGAGCAAAGCGATAGGCAAGTGTCCCAAATAACTTGCGGTCCACGTCCGAACTAGCCGCGTCATCTGAAACGAGATAACAAAGGAAAATGGCCCAGAAGTAGTACTTTCGCTCCCTAGGAAAGTTCTTTTGAAGACTCATGGCAGCCTTTGGTAAGAATAAAGGCACTTGTTAGCAATTTAGGCCTTGATACGATGCCGGCGTAGCATCGGCTTCTTCCCAACTCACCTTCTGAGCTGACTTCCAGTCACCAGCGTCATATCCAAACTTGAACCATCTCATCTGAAGAGCATGATCTTGTGGCTTTGCCTTAGCTGCCCTTTCCCATATGGCGCTCCGAAGCTCGGTATGGCCATCCATATTCCGCAGCGTACGGTGAAGTATGTCGAGAGAGTCCAAGTCCGAGATTGGTGGATCGACATTGCACAGCTCGAGGGTCTCCGCAATACCCTTCTTTTTATGGGCTTCATCCGCATGGTTGAAGAGGACATTCGCTTTCCAGGCCTGTTTGCTTGCGACCTCACGCGTTAGTTGGTCTCTTACAGGGGACAGCGTCGCAGGGGTGTTAGGTTCGGAATAAACAATTATGGGGATCACTCGCCTTCAAAAACTGAGTATTCTCGCCCTTCTTCATGCGCTTCTCAATCAGCTGCAAGGCCTGCTTCATGTTCTGGGAGTCAATGGCATCTTGGATTTGGTTGTTGCGACGCAGAAACACCGCGTCATTGCTGGAGCTCATGGTGGAGGTGCTGTCCAATTTGTGGGAAAACTCTTCCCAATGGCCGTCTTTTGTAGAATGGTCCGATCACTGTGCTGAGCACAGCATGGGCTAAAAAGAGTCAATGATCTGAGTTGGAGTCGAGTGATCGACTCTGGTCACTTTTTTATTTGGCGGGGAATGAGACACAAACGGTAGGCGGTCAGTTGGTCCCCGCACCATACTGCCGAAGCATGAGTTTGGGCTTTCATAGTTCAAACTCTCTTGTTTAGTTAGTATAGACTACACATATGTATGAATTAAGATAAGAAGTCACACTCCAGACCCATGGATAATCCATCTCGAGATCTTGAGACATGGTTCCCCAAGGTTGTGAGGAGGTTTCAGAGGCTACCTACTTCCGTCCTTGAAGAGGGCTTAACATACACGTAGTTACATGTAGTTTTAGCTTTGGTCTGGTTATCTCTCGTATGTGCACGAGGATTGTATTCGAGTTAACTTGGAGGTCCGCCTGGACAAGATAGTCAAGACCAAGGCCACGAGAATTTTAATATACCCTTAAAATGATTCAAAATAAAATCCCATGTAAACAAAAAATTTGCTTATCTCGCTGCTCAGCAGCGGACCGTGAAACTGTTCGACTCGCCAAAAATGGAATATTTCTACCAGCATAGCAAGATCACAACCCCGACAGCAGTTCGGATGTCTACCGTGTAGCGGTTCACATGAAAAACGCCGGCAGCTTGACTTTGGAAGACTTCTAATTATTAGGTTGGTAGAAAAGCACATCGTACATATTGTGATGCAACAACTGCTTTGGGAATGTCAGGGATCTTGCCGGCCAGTAAAGTTGTCTATCTTTATGGTCCGAGATGATAGGAATGTCTCATTTGGGCTGAGGCGTCAAAGAAACTTTCTTCTGAGTGAGCTGTGCCTTGTTAGTGACCGAATATACTCCAACGTGTCCGAATCAAAGTCGAGGGAATGGATCTCGTGGATGGGTTACCAAACATGCACGAGACATGACCTTGATACGGAGCTCTGTATTCAACTTACCCAGTTCTTTTTGCAATCGCGATAGGCTCTAGAAAGTAATCAGTCAGTAAGAAAGCTCAGACATATGATAATCATGGTAATATAGTACAAGCTAGCCAGAAGTGGATAGAAAGCCAGGTACGCCAAATGGAGGGCAAGCCAATGTATTAATCATATCATATAAGGATTTTCAACGTACTGGAAATAATCATGGCACATTTCGCGGTCAAAGGCATTTCGTTTCATACACTTGAGACTCCGATCTGCGAAGTCTTGACATGGGTCGTAATACTCGCTAGCATGTTTACTAAAATCGTAAGTTAGCTACCAGTATGGATAAAGGCCACACGTATTCAGCCAGTGAATATGCAACCGTCGGGCTAGCCCGTGTGGCTCTCAAGACCCCATAGTCCATGTAAAGATGATCCCGTGATCACGGATGACTTCAGAGACATCATATCATGATTCGGGGATTGTCACACACAGAAAAGAGGTGGAGGGAGGAAGCTTGGAACATACTGTGTGAACTTCTTCTCCGCTTTCTCCCACGCTTTGTCGTGAGTGTCTCCTTGGGTCGACTCCGCTGTCATGGTGCAGTGAGGTGGTATGTCTCCCGTGTTCGCAGTGGATAATTGAGGCAAGCGATCTAATCAAATAAAATAGAACGCCAAACCGTCGCTCGAAAATCAGATTGGAGGTGGAGGTTGATTGGAGCAGAAGTTAGCGTTGGATGCAGGAAGAATTGGGGATCCGCGGTCTTGGCGCGGAGATCTGCCAATGTACCCCAACTGGCATCCCGAGGTCCGCATACCACCTTGTTTTTGTGTATAATATTGTACTGCTTTGGACTTCATATAATTCTAAAAGAGTGTTCTACATGAGTATAGCTTTGAATTATGAGTGTGTCTAGCTTGTGCGCTCATTGAAATAGCTGGGCGTGCTATTTTAGAGTGTAGCATTCCGGTCTATCTATATATATCCATTTATATGCTCCGTACAATTATGAGGATGCATATAAATGGCAATCTGAAAGTAAAAATAAGTACATGGATTCTCTCAAACCAGCAAAAAAGCTTTATTATGACTAAATAGTACCACTTGGCTTGGGCTTAGAAGATCAGAAAGATGCTGACTGCTGCGATGTTTTGCTATTCTCTGACTGCTTTCACTGCTATGTACTATCTTTGCTCCGATACAATGCTAAGAGATACGAGACTACTCCACAAGGCCAGAGCTGAGTCACAGGAAGATAAAACTTCTACCGTAGACTAGCATTGATAGTTATCATTTCGTTTCCGTGGCTATGTTGTCCAATTGTAATGACATAATCGGTGGTCAGATTGCCCTCAGAAATAAAAATGGCGAGGTGATGAAAGTTCAAGGGCCACAAATAGTACGCATTCTAACCTTCATATTACCAGTTCTCCAAACTCGCAAAGGTGCGTATAGGGTTCGGCCGTGGTTTACAAGGTATATCGAGCATAAAGCGCTTCGGGCACTGGGTATAACAGAGCAGATCGCAATAGTGACATATTTCTGTCAGTTATCATCCTTGATGGATGACAATCTTCTCACAACGTACAGTCGCGATAGTTGGTGACTTGTGTCATCAACTTGGCGGAGTATCGCTCTGAGATACTTCGGGGTCGGTTCCGTAACGCTAATTGGTTCATATGGAATTAGAAAAGAGTAGGGTATATATTTCATACGGCCAGTCTCAAGGTGTCTTCCACAAGCGGGTAGATTTTCCGGAGCATATGGAAAGAAGATTGTTGAAGATGACGAGGTCCAGAAGGGCGTGTTCGATGACAGCCAGCTTCGCTCGGAGGAACTGAATTAGCAACGACACAAGAAATAGCAAAGCCTTAAAAAGCTCATCTATTGTGCTGTATAGGACCTTTGCGAATGCGTAAGAGACTGTTGAGGGATGTATGATCTGTAAGTGAACCGGTGGATGCAAGATCAAGATGTATAAGTGAGGTCAAATATGCCTTGATCGGCTATATTATCAAACAGAATTTGACTCATCTGGTCTCAATTAGGAATCAAAGAAAAGGCGAAGTCAAAGACAGGGCAGCGTCTTCGTGTTTAAGATCTCTACAGGCTTTGTTCATATGCGAAGGTCGCTCACCTATAAGAGATGTCTACAGTTGCACTTGTTACGCAGATTGATCTCATCAAAATAGGCGCGAGAAATCCAAAATGAGTGTCATATGAAGACCATAAAAGAAAAGTGACGAGTCACGTCCAAAGTTGCTAGTTCAAAGCTCCCTTGCCCAGGTGTTGGGCCTTCCTCATGATTATGTTATTGATTGCCTGAGGCCGCCAAAACATCTGCCCTCTCACTTAAAGAATCTGGATCATATTATTGCTCTTCCTTGTGCCCTTCTTTCAATCTCAGACCGTCACATTATTGTCGCAGCGTTCTTCGACTTCTCTGTGTTCGTCCCTGCGAAAAGCTGTTGATCACACCTTGCCGCTTTGCGAAAGTTTTACTTTCCGGGACGCCCCCACCGCATCCTGTCGACACTCGCGCTCGCCCCGAAACGCCTCAAACGCACTCCGGTCGAGTGGGCCACGCTCCTAGTGTGGAAGAAAGAGCTTTTGACGAGCCGCAGAAGGTCGAAATGGCAACTAGAAATGGTTCTGGGGCCGAGGCATCGGGAGTAAGTCCTTTCCCGCATCTGATTGAAGTGATCGAGAGCTACAGACTGACGCGCACTTTACAGCTCGTGAATACACTCCAAGGCCATGTAGATGATATTCGCACTCTGATACAGTGTGGTATATGCATCCGTCCCCTTTACGAACCGTTTACCATCGCCTGCGGGCACACTTTCTGCTACTCAGTGAGTCCCTTCTATTTTACTAGCTCGTTAATTCCATTACCTGACCAGAATTCTTCACATAGTGTCTATCATCATGGTTTGCCGGTGGAAGATCAAAACGAACGTGTCCGGATTGCCGAGCACCCGTCAAAACTCAACCAGCACCAGCTTATTTGGTGAGTTTTAACAATCTTCAATTCGTTTCATTATATCTAACACGTCTCTCGTGTTACAGGTTCGGGCCGTTGTGCAGATGTTCACAGGTCGAGCTGAGCTTTTAGATAAAGGGGAAACAACCACAGAGCATACGAAGAACCAAAGGGAAGAAGCAGAAAAACTGGATCAGGACAAGGCCAATAATCATCCAACTGAGGGAGGTCTGTTCGGAGGTCTTTTCAAGCCCAAAGCTCCCCCACTTAAACCTGTCATTGACATTGATGACGGCGTGGTTCGGTGTCCGGTCTGCTCGTGGGAGCTTGAAGGAGACAATTGCGCAGGATGCGGATATCGATACCGACCGGGGTCTGAGGAGACAGATGACAGTGAATCAGCTGACTATAGCGAGACCGACCTAGACTCGCTGGATGATGGTATGGATGAGGAAGAGGGTGAGAACGAGGGCGAGGGCGAGCTAGGGGAATCTGACCACTTCGACGACATCGAAGACCGTGATGGCGTTTGGGGCAACTTCGCGCTTCAGTATTATGGGCCTACTTTCAATGGACGCCCTAACTGGCCCCCAAGTCGTGACCGGCAGGCTTTCGACCGGTTCGAAAACTTGATACGTGGACCTCCCATGATCCCACTGGGGGCTGCGCCCCCAATGGATCATGGCAATTATCTCGCTTCAGGTAACACCAATGGAAGTGAATACGACGAAGAGGAAGAGGAAGAAGAGGAAGAGAATGAGTATGACGAGTCAGACTCGTTCATCGATGCTGAAAACGACCACCCGCCCACGAGTTCGTTCATTGAAACTCAAGCCGATCGTCTCGGGAGTGGCGACATGTATGAATCGGAATCAGACCGTTCCACTGGCACCGTTGTGGATTATGTTGCGCATGACCGCCTTGCCAACACGCATGGGCTCCATTACAGAAACACTACACCTTACTTTGACGATGAGGCTTCTGATGAAGATAACGAAGTGGAAGAGGAGGAAGAGGAAGTTTCAGAGGCATCGGACGATAGAGGTATGGCCAATGAAGACTCAGAAGAATCCGACGAAGACGCAATCCAGACTGCGCCGCCTCGTCAAGCCAATCCACAATATCCATACCGATCCCCCTGGTTCCAAGCCCCCAGCGCTGCTCCATGGCTTGCGGCCAGGCCTCCACCTGAACCAATTCCTGACTCATCCGAGGAAGAGGAATCTTCGCCGCCTATTAGGCCCGCTAGATCCAGTGCGCGTCGTCACGTCAATCACGGGACCACGGCTCTGAATGCGATTCCCCTCGATGATTCCGACGACGATCAGCCTGTCGGCCCAGTGAGAAGAACCACACAGAGGCGACGTGCCAGATTCTCTCCATATTAAGATCATCTTCCAACCGCAAACGCGGTATTTGCTTTCGCATTTTATGGCCTCCTTCTTTCCTTTTCTATTTCCTTTTTTTTTTGGCTTCAGCGCGGCGCCTGGGTAATGCTAAGAGGACTGTGGACATGGTTGGCGTTTTGTCTTTATTTTGATATCACAAGGACGACCTTTTTCTCTTTTCCTCCTCTTTTTCTGCTGCCTTCAACGGCTGGATCCTATCTGCATGTTTAGTTTTTTTACCGGCTCAGCCGTACTCTACGAATACCCCTACTTACATATCCTTCTTCGGTTCGATCTTGGTCTTTTGCCGCCCTTTGCTAGTGAAGCCGAAGAACCTAGTCTCTTGGCACTCAATAAAGCGTGGCCACAAAATCCGTCATCAAATCCATGAAATGGCCTCCGGGCTCTACCGTATTGAGTTCTTGTTTCTCATATTTTGTTCTCTCACCAAACTAGTAGAGAGCACTGGCTTGCTTCGTAGTGTAATTGCTAAGATTGCTTGCATATCTGAATGATAACTCCATGCCTGCAACAGTTAACGAACCTTGGAATGTATCTGCTACTGACTCACCTGAGCATCCTATTCACAAGCAAATTAAACCGATGAGAACAGCCAGGCAATATGCCCACATGACTCAGACCCGGAATCGTACATAGGAATCTTTGGCTATTGGTAACAATGTTGTTTTACGAGATTGGAGGGGATTTTCTGATCGTTTGCCCTAATCGTGAAGTTCTACTGTTCAGGCACAATGCTGCTTGAAAGAGGGATATGATTGAATATTTCAATGCACCGAAGAAATCCAGTACATATGCAAAAATGGTAAAATACACAGATGTGACTCCAAATACACCTGACCCCGAGCAACGCTCCCCATTTTACTCGGCCGATGACCAAGATCGAGACAGAAGATTATGAACAAAATTTATACATCAGCCTTCACGGTGTCATTAGTAGCAAATGGAACTTCGAAGACAACAGCACAATTGCGGCCTCCCGAAGTGGGGCCTTCATGGAAATTGTTGGTGAAGCACTTCCAGCGAGCCAATCGGTGCTCCTTGCCGACAGCAGCGACGATGGACAAACCACGAGGTTCGTGCTCGGTCTCGGACTTCTTGGATTCAGCACCAGGCATATCAGATTCAGGGCGTCGTTCGAACACCGCGATGTCGTTGATGACACCCTTAATCAAAGGCTCTGGCTCTTTTTCATCAGCTGCAGGGGTGGCATCAAGAGCAAGAGTCTGTTTGAGTTGCTGCGAAGGTGTGTCTGGTGGTGTGACGGCACCAGGTAAGCCTGCACCAATGGGACCCAGAGCGATAAGTGTCTTTTTATCTTCTGAGACGCGCCATGCGCGGATGAAACCGTCCCAACTGCCACTAAGGACAACATCGGTACCGGGCAGAGTGGCGAGTGCAGTGATCCAGCGAGGCATGGGGCGCATGTGGCGCGCGTTGTGGGCGGCAGTCGCCTCGTCTACCTCGGGTGATAACACATCCAGAGGGGGGATGGGGTCCAAGCCGTGAGCAAGACGGACGGTGTAGAGTGGCTTCTTTTTGTGAACGGACCAAAGGCAGAGGGAGCCGGAGTCTGAGCCAGTGACAAAGTGCGTGGGTGGAAGGGGGGCAATGCAGTCGATGTTGTTTTCGTGGTAAGGGGCATTTCTTGAGGCGCCGCCACGGAACACGAGCTGTGTTTCGTCGACGACCTTCCACAAGCGCGCGGTGCGATCCCGAGCACCAACACTGACACATTCGTCAATGGTCATGGCAGCAACTCCGGTGACGTGATCCTGGTGGCCGAAGAGTGTTTCGACATAGGCGTGGCCCGCTCCGCTGATGGACCATGTCTTAATTGTGCGGTCGTATGATCCGGAGAACAGCTGCTCTCCGGAACTCATCGCTGAGATATGGCGTGCAAAAGACAAGCTGCAAACAGTGTCTCTGTGCTGCAAGAAGGTCTTGCTTGGCGTCAAAGTCTCTGCGTCCCAGATGATAAGCTTATTGTCCGTTCCACCGGTGGCCACGAATTTTCCAGAAGGCGAGACAGCAACAGATATGATGCTTCCTGTATGCCCTTGATCCTCGTCTGATTCGCCAACTTTGCGCATACCACGAGCGTACTTCACACGCTTAGGCTTCTTGCGCTGGGGACGCGGAGGCCGCTTGGAAGTATCATTATCGCCGTTCGATTCTGTAGAGCCTGGTACACTGGGTGTAGCCAATTCCCACTTGGTCAAAGTTTTATCCTTGGAAACAATGTAGACGAATGGCGGGTGGACTGCAATGGCAGTGTTCGACTGGGTATCTGAGCGGAAAAAAGAATGGGGCGCCGTGGGAATGGATAGTTTCGCAGCGATTTGACGGAACGTCCGTCCTTTAAACTCATCGACGTCTTTCTTCAATCGTTCCGCAATCAAGTCTCGGTCGATATCTGCGGCATCGAATCCAGCTTCGTCGACTTCTTCTTGAATGTTACCCAAGTAGCGTTCAGCGAGTTTCAATCTCCGATCCGCTGCGGTTTCGCCATCTTCGGAGTCCGATCCACTTTCGTCGCCTGACTCTGCCGTGTCGATTGCGGCATCTTCATCCAAGTCACTGCCTGAGATCGATTCTTCTCTATCCTTGGTCCGTCGACCACCGTCGGTTTTGGCATCTACGCCTCGCTTTTTTGATCCTGGGGCGGCGGCGCGGTCGTCTCTCTTCCTCTTGCGCTGGGAATTGGGTACAGTGAAAAAGGACGACATGGCGACGTTTTGTCAAGCCTGTCAGTTCTCGATCTCTGTATAAAGAAATCGAATGTCTGACGTTCTCGAAAGACTCGGACTGCGGAGATCAAAACTTCAACTTTTTTTTGGCAGAAAAAAAAGCGCTAAGCGGCGGCTGACTCAGCAGGTAGCTGACCTCACGGGAGCTCCAGGCGTCAAGCTCACCGCGCGGCCGTCCTCACTTAACCACTACTCCCATTCGTCTTCTCTGATCATCTACTTACTTGTTTTTTTATTTTCTATCTCTCATACCGCAAACATGTAGGTCTATGATAACCTTGTCTCCATGAATGGTTACTAATAGTTTGCTAGGGAGGTTCTTTTGGGTATCGCCGGCAAGGACTTCGTCATTCTTGCTGCATCCAAGGCCGCAATGAGAGGCCCGACAGTTCTCAAGGCTGAAGATGATAAGACACGACAGTTGAACAAGCATACAGTGATGGCCTTCTCCGGCGAGTCTGGAGATACCGGTATGTAGCTTCCTCGATGAGACAAACACAGCGCTAATGAGATACCTATGCTAGTCCAATTTGCCGAATACATCCAAGCCAATGCCGCACTCTACAGCATGCGCAACGATACCGAGCTCAGTCCCTCTGCCGTTGCCAATTTCGTCCGGGGAGAATTGGCGCGCAGCTTGCGGTCACGGAGTCCCTACACAGTAAACCTGCTGCTAGGTGGTATAGATCCGGTCACTGAGAAGCCTCATCTGTATTGGGTTGATTATCTAGCGTCCCTGGCGCCCCTACCATATGCTGCTCATGGCTATGCCCAGTATGTTTCATGGCCCGTGACGATGGACGATACAGCAGTCCAGGCGAGAGAGAGCTGATGCTGACTCTGCTAGATACTACTGCCTATCAATTCTTGACAAACACCATCATCCCGACTGCTCCCTCGAGGAGGGCCTTGCCCTTCTCACCCTGTGCACAGACGAGCTGAAGCGCAGACTACCCATTGACTACAAAGGGGTAAGTTCCTTAGGATGCCATCCTCGAATGCCATTATTCTGACACAATTATCCATAGATGCTGGTGAAGGTCGTCACAAAGGACGGCGTGCGAGAAATCCCCGTGGATAACGATAAGGTGGTCCGGAGTGCTTGAAAGGTCGACATACCACGGCGTTTGTTGTATCACATCTTATGACGTTTTTCTTTGATTCCGAGATAGTCCAACGGTCGGCATGATTTAGGCTGTAGCAAGCTTGGAAATCAAGTAACGAGTAGACCCCTAGATGGTCTTCGATAAACAATAGGCAAATACAACCCTATAAGCTCACCGCTCGAAATGAACAGCATTTTGTATAGAACATACACCGCTTGGCATTGGCCTGATGGGCGTTTGACTTGTTTGCATCTTTGAGTCGCATCCCGAGCTCTCGGAAAGTCAAGAACTCCGGGACCACCAACTTTTCGATCCAAACCATCTCACAATGTCAAAAAGACAGGCAGAGCTCCCCTTGGAGCAAGACTCTTCTGGCTCACCCGCATCGAAAAAGGCGCGCGTCGAGGACGACAATGATACCGATTCTATCAACGGCGCAGTGCCCGCATCCCAAAAGAGCGGCGATGAGATTAGACAAGATGATCGCAATGGTGTGGATATCCTAGGAGCAGCTGAAATAGAAGGAGAGGAGCTCGAGGAGGGTGAGAAAGATCCCTCCGGACTCTCGGATATTGACGAAGATGCACCTGCACTCAGCGCTCCGAAGCGGCAAAGCGCTCCCATGGAAGGCTACGGCGACCTGTACCTCGACACGATCAACCGTGAAATTCTGGATTTCGATTTCGAGAAACTGTGCTCAGTCAGTCTGTCAAACATCAATGTGTACGCATGTCTTGTCTGCGGTAAATACTTCCAGGGTCGCGGTCCGAAATCGCATGCATATTTTCACGCCCTTGAAGTTGGACATCACGTCTTCATCAACATTGGCACGAAGAAGGTATATGTTTTGCCTGAAGGATATGAAGTCAATAACAAGAGTTTGGAGGACATCAAGTATGTCGTTGATCCACACTATACAAAAACCCAAGTGGTCAAGCTCGATAAGGAAGTCCATGATGCCTGGGACCTTTCTGGGTCGAGGTACCGACCAGGTAAGAGCCTATACCATGATAGGATCAAATGTTCTTTTTTTCGCTAATAGTTTTCCGTTCCAGGGTTCGTCGGCATGAACAACATCAAAGCCAACGACTATGTCAATGTAGTAGCTCAACTGCTCGCACATGTTTTGCCTATTCGCAATTTCTTCCTACTCCACGAATTCCCTACTCCCGGCACACCAGAGATAATTCTTCGTTTCAGCACGCTGGTGCGCAAGCTATGGAACCCCAAGGCGTTCCGGTCACATGTGTCTCCGCACGAGTTACTACAGGAGGTTGCTGTACGATCCTCGAAACGGTTCACTCTCACGAACCAGGCAGATCCCGTGGACTTCCTGTCTTGGTTCCTAAACTCTCTGCATCTCGCCTTAGGAGGATCCAAGAAGCCCTCGCCAACACCCACGAGTGTTGTTCACGCAGCGTTTCAGGGCCGTGTACGGATCGAGAGTCAAGCTATCACGGCTCACTCCGACACCCAAAATGCCCGTTTGGTATTCACTGAATCTGGCACAATCAATAGCCAGGTTACTCCTTTCCTCATCCTCACACTAGATCTACCCCCCCACACCCCTCTTCCAATCTGCCAATCGGGAGTCGAGTATCCCACAGGTCCCCTTGACTACCCTCTTGAACAAATATAACGGCTACACGGCGTCAGAGAAACTGGCCCACCGTGTCCGACACCGTCTCCTCCACCCTCTTCCTCCCTACCTTTTCTTCCATATCAAGCGCTTCAGCAAGAACCGCTTTGTCTCTGAGCGAAACCCAACTATCGTCACCTTTCCCTCTCCGCACGGTTTGGATATGTCCCCCTATGTCGAGCCAAATCCCAATATTTGCTCACCCAGCGAGCCAATCCTCTACGATCTTGTGGCAAACATCATCCTCGACCCCGCCATCGCTGCACCCGGTGCAATGGATGACGCTGTGGATAAGGGCGTCAACGCTGCGTCAGGAGCCGGCGGTTCCTCCAGCGGAGCAGGTGGCGGCAGCGAGAAGGTGTCATGGCTTGTCCAACTTCATGATAAAGCTATGGAGGCTGAGAACACTCGCGCCAAAAATGGCGGTTCCACGGAGAAGCAGCAGCGGGGCCCGGAGTGGCTTGAGATTCAGGATTTGTTCGTCAAGCGCGCGGAAAGCGAGACGTTGTTCACTCGTGAGGGATATCTTATGGTATGGGAGCGGCGCAAAGTGCCAGGGAACAAAGGAAAGGGACGTGCATGATCTGAGATAGTTAAATCTGAGTTGACTGGGGCTTCGAACTTGCTATTGTCTTCCACGTTTTTGTCTTTGAGAGCAAATCCAATGTACCATCAGTTAATGAAAATGTGTAAATGCAAATCTCATCAAGATAGCAATCTGTGCTCCAAAAAGATTATATTGTACAAAGTACCTCGTAGTTGTAGTGGGGAGCACTCACGGTCTGAAATTTTACTTGGTGAACCTAGGTCTTGAGGCCCCCCATGAATGAAAATGGCGGATGTAAGAAGGGGAAATCCACCCTACCAGAGGAGATAGAGGAAATAGAGCAAGTACGGTAGAGTGACCTAGGTATTAAAACGACTAAAAGAAACAAGTATTCATCACAAGGTTCCCCAGCCGCAGAAGTTCCTCCCTATCCTCATCGTCGAGCCTACCAGGAACCCCCAAATCCCCGCTCTCATCGCAACTTGCATTCCTCTCATGAGCACAAGTCGGTAGGAATAGGCACATATGTCTGGCCAGGTTCTCCCGCCAAACCAAAGACCCAACGGGTGGACATCTGAGAGACGGGTAACGGAGGAAGGATGTGAGATAATCCAGGATCGGGTCAAGGAGCGAAGGTAGAGTGCTTCGAGTGGCGCGAGTATTATGCCGCTGATTACAGCAGCGAGATGAGACGCAAGAGAGTCCACTGGGTATGCCGAAAGAAGGGTGACGCGGTGGACTTGCGACAATGTGTTTGTCAGTTGTCCAGGAATCAGAGAAGAGGGTAGAATTGGCTGGACGAGGGTGTCGGATTGGGTGTCTTCATTATGGTCTGTGTCTGCGACAGGGTTCGATTCATTGGGTGGCTCTTCCTCATTTGGTTCTTCCACGCCATCTGGGAGAAAGTTTGGTACGATGGACCCTAGAGTTTCCTCGATTGACTCTAAAGTTGGAGCGTCGGTGGCTTGGGTTTCTGGGGCCGGAATTTGAGGGTCTAATTCAGGGGCACCCAAGTCTTGGGGGGTTGTGCTTGATGGTCCAGCAGTGATACTTGAGAGGCCATCCGTATCTACTGCCGCTAGGGGCTGCTGGGCCTGGCGCTGGGCCTGACTTATGATCAGAGCCTCGAGGAACTCGGCTATGGATCGTCTGTCCATGGCGTCTGGGTTTGTATTTGAACCTGGCACACCATTTCCCGCTAGCGCATTTAACTGGGCAGGATTTGGAGTTTGGACCTGCGGGTGACGGTTCCGATTGCCCATCAACTCAAGCTGCATTGTGATAACGTCGGGGCTCTGGTGAATCAAGGATGCTCTTACGCGAGGCGACGTAGGGGGTGATGTTTCTGGTGATGACGGGCGAGAAAAGAGAGTATTAGATCGCGAACTCTGTCGGTCCACAGCAAGATCCTCACCATTTTGCAAAGGGGCTGATTGGTCCTGCTGTGTTGAACTGGCGGAGAGACGACTCGTCCGACCAGCAGTAGCTATCTCGGAGAAATAGTCATTGCTCATTTCCCCGGGCGATTGAGACATACGATTTTCGTTTGTAAGCACCTGATTCAACCCAATAACAGATTCTGCCTGGGTCAACCGCATGGGTGGAGTTGTATCGTGTGGTCGTGCTCGCGATGCAAGAGCGGCAACCTGGGCATCGGGAGTAACCCCTGGCGGTCTAGGCACGGGTTCATTTGGGCCTTCTCCAGCACCAAGGTTGACTTGGACCCCGTTAAGTTCATTTTGCAATAACTCAATTGAATGGCGTAGATTTTCTATCCTCTCGTCTCTGAAGGACCGAAGAACTTGCTGTTCTGACAATTGGTTCGACCTCAGTCCAAAAAGCGATGATACCCATCTTCGAAAAATGGCCAGTTCGAACTTGATGTCTTCGAATAGCGTGAGCTTGCCGCGGTGTAATTCTTCGTCCGATCTGCGGCCCAGGGTGGGCACTACCCACTCTATCAGGTTTTCTTCAAAGGCAACGCGGACTGAGAGTTCATCAGGAAGAGCTGGTTTAGGAAGGTGCCGTCTGATCAACCGATAGATACGCTCTTCAAGCTCTGGTCGCAGGTAGTAGCCATAGAGGAACACTAAAGCACCAGGGGAGATCAACAATTCCACGAGTGACATCCCCAGTGAGCGAGGGGAGAAATCTGTGGGCCAAGATGGCAGCTGTAGCAAAGATTCTCTGCTGAAAGGAAGCAAAAATTGCACGCCAGGGATTCCATATGGAGACACAAGGGAAAGGGATTGGAGTGTAGAGTACATGTAGAACTCCATAGACAACATGAGCACAGAATTTCTCGCTCTTTATTCATAGTTAGCTGTCTTCCAAGGTTGTCTATGTGAATGGAGGAAGAATATACTCACGCTGTATATAGAAGCCCGAAAAGGGAACGAACACCGAGTGAGTCGCCCGTCAAAGTCTGAACATAGTCCCGCAAAGAGACAAACACCCGTTTCAGCGGGGTTTCACGAGCTATAGCCAAGGCGCTGGACATTGCCCAGGCAGGAATTCCCAAAAAATAGAAGCTAAAAATCCCTGTGGTGTCTCTCTCAGATTTCATGGCACTGAGTAATGCAGAGTGGGCATAATGCCGGTAAGTCTGAACATCAAGTCTCGAATGTCAGCCCAATCAAAGTAGTATCGGCAGTGCATTTACCTGTACTCGACCGGTGACTGAAGAGGTCCACCAGGTACCGAAAAAGATGAACAGTTGATCGAGGGTTGTTATGACCAGTCCGAAGTCATTTTCGCTCGCAATCTGGTTGATCTTTTGCTGTTCATTGGGCATACTAGAATTTCGGTCTTCTCCACTGACGACAATCCCCATTGTTGAAAGGATGTCATTCTTTGCTCTCCGGAGTTCTTTCCCAAGGCTTCTGGACTCGGGATTAACAGGGTGCCCTCGAGTATCATATTGCTGCATATAATTGTCTGCATGGACGTTGGATATCCGTCGGACTGGAGTGGAGGGGTCAACCGCCGCATTGTCAGGAGCTTCGTATGGGGACCGGCCCTTGAGATCAGTCAATATAATATACTATGCAATTTATAACTACGTTCAATCAGACATGTATGGGTAGAGGCGTCTGGGGTGGGGCTTGTATATCAGGATGGAAACAATCAGACAGGGTCCGGTGGTGACTGGTTCGGTTTCAGAAGACTTTAGCCTTCTCGAAATAAAGCATGAACCATTGTCACATCCCGTAGACCCAAGATTTCTCAGCTGCGAATATAGGGGAAGTTCGCGAGTAGAAAGGTGAAGCTTACCAAAGCGAGCCGGTTCAAATAAGCCTGTCGACCCATAGCGCGCGTGATCACCGGGCTAGTAGTGTAGCCACATTGGCTTTTAGAACACCATTAGTACAAGGGCTTTCAGAGCCTGTGAATTCAAAGTAACAAGCGATAAGCGATATGAAACACGATCAGATGAAAGCCCAGCGGTTGAAGGTGAACATGTGGTTATGCGGCTACAGTTGGCCTGAGGCACGAGCCATATCTTATCACCGAACAAACAGTACAAACACCCCAAAAAAAGTTGCCCGCTCGAGCTGCCATTTTTCGCGATCGTTCAATCTCTACGGCTCTTCGACTGGCCAATGGCGTGCTAAATTCTACATTTTTACGCCGAGATATTATAGAGTCATGTCGAAAGCTATTGTCAAAACCACTTTCGAGGCGTCCCGTACGCTCCGCCCCATTTACACTGGTGGTAGCACGGCGCTGGATGCCAGTGGGCGCATCTTGCTGAGCTGTGTGGGTGAAGATGCCTTGATCGTTGATTTGGAGACTGGTAACCAGCTTACTAGCTTGGAGGGGGTACGTTTGTCGCCTTGCGAATATTCGTCAATTGCAAAGCGCTAACCACATAAACCCTGCAGGATGGAGAAATTGTCACAGGTTTGGCCAGTAAGTATTGTATGTCCTGGGAATGAGAATAAAACACTAACTATTGCCTAGTCACGCCTTCCGCCTCACACGCTATTGTCTGCTCCCGCTCGATGTCCATGCGAATCTACGGCCTCTCAACTTTCGACGAGACTTCTCAGACCATTGAAGCAAAACTTCTCCGAACCCTCAAGCCTCACACAGCTCCCGTTGTGACCATTGCCGTTGACCCTACTGGTACACTACTTGCCACTGGTGGTGCTGATGGCTCAATCAAGGTCTGGGACATCAGAGGTGGCTTTGTTACTCACACTTTCCATGGTCATGGTGGTGTCATTTCTGCGCTTTGCTTTTTCGAGGTTCCTACTGCCGACAGCGATGCCAAGTTATCCAAAAAGAACAAGTCTAAGCAACTGGCTACGGAGGATGACGATGAAGATATGGAGAGCTCTGCCCGTACGGGTTCTACCGCAGGATTCCGCCTAGCATCTGGCAGTGAAGATGGCAAAATGCGTGTATGGGATCTGCACAAGAGAAAGTCCATTGCGTCGCTTGAGTCACATGTTTCACTTGTCCGGAGTTTGTCCTTCTCTCCATCAGAGAACGCATTGATCTCGGCCAGCCGAGACAAGACTGTCATCGTCTGGGATGCGCGTACTTGGAAGACTCGCAGAATCATTCCTGTTTTGGAGAGCGTGGAAGCAGCGGCTTTCATTGCGGATAGCGGACTGTGCGTTATCGGTGGAGAGAATGGCAAACTGCGAGTTTGGGACTGCAATCGTGGAAGCGAGGTCACAGAGGAACAAGAGGCCGGAGAGGAGTTCGAAAGCGTCGTCGCTATCCAGTATTCGCCTGGTTTGCCTTTTGTCCTCACAGTCCATGCGGATCAGACTCTCCGCCTCCACTCGCTCGAGTCGCTGTCTGATTATAAGCCAGGGTCAACCTTGGAGCCTTTGGCGATTATCCGCCGCATTTCCGGCAATGACGACGAGATCATTGACCTGGCTTACATTGGGCCTGATCGATCGATGCTTGCTTTGGCCACTAACACCGAGAGTATTCGTGTAGTTTCGGTTGCTCCCTCAGAAGATCGACCCTCAAATCCGGGAGAGGAGTACTTTGGTGCTGATGTCACACACCTGGAAGGCCACGACGATATTATCATTTGCATTGATGCGGATTGGTCAGGACACTGGCTAGCAACAGGCGCTAAAGACAACACAGCCCGTCTTTGGCGTATTGACCCGAAGACATCGTCTTATGCTTGCTTTGCTATTTTCACTGGCCACGCCGAATCGTTGGGCGCAATCGCCCTTCCCCGTGTGCCACCCCCTGTTGGCAGTGCTGCATATAACGACCCCTTGAACCACCCGCCAGCATTTTTAATTACTGGCTCGCAAGATCGCACAATCAAGCGGTGGGATACAAGCAAGCTAGCCCCCCCTGACGGGAGAAAAGCCTCACTATCCTAAGGCAATCTATACTCGCAAGGCTCACGAAAAAGATATTAATGCCATTGATATCGATTCTACATCTGAACTGTTTGCCTCAGCATCACAAGATCGCACCGTGAAGATCTGGGCCGCCGACGAAGGCTCGACGGTAGGTGTCCTCCGTGGCCACAAGCGAGGAGTTTGGTCGGTGCGATTCGCGCCGCAAGGCACACCGATTATCAACTCAGATTCACGTACCAGCACGAGCCGTGGCCTAGCCGTCACAGGCTCGGGTGACAAGACCGTCAAACTGTGGAGTCTGTCTGACTACAGCTGTCTCTTGACTTTCGAGGGCCATACCAACAGTGTTCTCAAAGTCCTCTGGCTCCCACCTCCCCAAGTCTCGAACAACCAAACGGATGAGGACGAGGATGACGAAGAGGCTGCAACAGCACGCAAAAACGCCATCCAGGACCGTCCCCTTATCGCGTCCGCCGCGGCAGACGGTCTGGTCAAGATCTGGTCTCCCTACACAGGCGAGCTCGAAACCACTCTGGACAACCACATCGACCGAGTCTGGGCGCTTGCCAGCCCAACCCCATCCGGCTCACGCGCAGACGTGAAGCCAACCTCCTCCAAGCTCAACACCACCCCGTACGCCATTGCCTCCGGTTCCGCCGACGCAACAGTGACCTTCTGGACTGATACCACGTCAGCCACCTACACAGCCGCTGTCAACGCCAGCTCCGCTCGCGTCGAACAGGACCAAGAGTTGCAGAACTACATCCGCGCCGGTGCCTACCGCGAAGCCATCACTCTGGCCCTGCAACTCAACCACCCGGGTAGACTGCTCTCGCTCTTCACCTCCGCCATCGACGCCGCAGATGACCCAACACTCCCTGCCGAGGACCGCGAGCGTGCTGCAGCCAGTCTGTCCGGTAACCCGTCCATCGACGAAGTCCTGCAGAACTTGGACCCCGCTAATCTGCGCACCCTCCTGCTCCGTCTCCGGGACTGGAACACCAATGCGCGCACCTCGCGCGTGTCACAGCGCATCCTGTATGCTCTGTTCCGCTCTTACCCTGCGTCCACTTTCGTGGAGCTTGCGACCCAGTCCGTCCGCGGAAAGGAGGGTCGTGCCGCGGCTGGTATGAAGGATATTCTGCAGGCGCTGGCTGCATACACTGAGAGGCACTACCGGCGAGTTGAGGAGCTGGTTGATGACAGCTACCTGGTGGAGTGGGTTCTCGGTGAGATGGATGGTGGCGTTGGTCTTGGTGGACTGCGTGATTTGATTGTGGGTGATGCCAGTGACGAGGAAGAGCATGAGAAGGACGTTATTATGTTAGAAGCATAGTTTGGCTTTAGTCTTTTGCCCTGTTTGTACATTGAATTTGGGGCTTTCGTTCTTGGAGTACCATGGGTGGGAAGGATAAAAGCCATCTCTTTATAGAATTGAATAGTGTATCATGGAAAGTATCCTTTGGCCAAAGCCATCTACATGTATTTTGATTGTTCAGGGTATCACTTTTTTTGATTGAGTCTCATGGTAAAATAACGAGAGGGAATATGTAGCTCCAAAGAAGCAGCAATCTGTCGTGTACAAAGGCCTCAATACTCTTCAACCCTCCTCGCCAAAACATCTGGCCTCTAATCATCACGACGACTCCGACGAGAGTCGCGATCACGATCACGGTCTCGGTCATTCCGAGACGAGTGCCGTGAGCTGCTGTATCTCTCATCTCGAGATCGATGGCTGCGGTCTCTGTCCCGCTCTCGATCTCCATCTCTCCTTCGATCGTCTCTATCATCGTCACGGTCGCGGCGACGATCCCGGTCATAGTCACGATCCCGATAGGACCGGTCGTCCCGTCTGCTTCTATCGTCATCATCGTATCTAGAGGAACGACTAGAAGAATGGCGACCACCCGACCGACTCCGGTCACGTCGCGAGGACCCGGTCTTCCGGCGAGACCGATCCTCCTCGTCGTCGTAGTCGCGTTTGCGGTACTCCCGATCTCGATCCTTGTCCCGGCCGCTCTTCTCAAGGTTGCGATCCCGTCGCTCGCGCCAGTCGTCTTCCTTGGGAGGTTTGGACTTGGCCTCCTTCTGTAAAGCAGCGAGTTCCTCTTCGGTAAGACGCTCGCCAGTTTTCTTATTCCGCATCGTGATAGGCATGTACACGCCCTCAGCCTTATCGTTTTCCTCCCCCTGTTTCCTCGATGCCTTGCGCATAGCCGATTTTCCCCAAGCTCCAAGTTCGGCTTCGGCTCCCTTGCCGCCGGACGAATCCTTTGCGCCAATTCCAAGGAAGCCAGGTCGTCGTTCTGGGACACGAGGGTTTTTCGCCCTCTCTGCAGCTGTGGCACTGCTGTAGTTGCCTCGTCCGATAGATTGACCATCCTTCCAACCCATTCCTCGTAGAAGCGCGGCGCCGAATTCCTCAACCGGAATGGCATTGTAGGCGTCCAAATTAGCAGGCTCGGGTCGGGATGCCACATCTGTTCGGAAAGACCCTAACTCGCTGTAGTGGACTGGTTCTTCCTCCTTTGTGGCGGACTCGATAACAAGGTCTGACCTCCGTTCCACGTCTCCCTTGGTTTCGCGAATCAGCGCTTGCATGGCAATCTGATCGTCAGTGAGCGGCTTGGTCTCGACAGGTTTCGCATCAGGCATGGCCTGATCTTGGACCACTGCTGCGCCGCTATCGCCCTTCTCTGCAGACTGCTGCGCAAAGCTCAACCCGTACGCCATGCTGGGCGTATCTGTCTCTACCGTAGGCTCTCCGGGATGTGCTTGTCCGTTCTTTTGCGCTTCCTGCATCGCCTGCACTTCGGCGGGTAGCAGATTCTTCTTGCTTTTCTTCACATTGACGCCCGCCCGGTCGCGCCAGTTGTTCTTGCTCGTTACGGGGATGATCAGTGGCTTATTTGCGTCCTCCACTGCCTGTCCATCCGCAGCAATGGCGGCACCTGTGTGGGTGTCGAACCCAGAGATTTCCTCGTGGACCGGAGGGGCCTCATCTTCGTCGGAGTCATCGGCATAACCGAGCTGGTGAGGCCGCCGAGGCAGTGACCGGCCGTTTGCTGGGAAATTTGTGGAACGGCCGCGGTTTGAGGATTGGAGGTTGAACCCAGCCTTTTTCGGAGGACCATTTGAACTGGATAAAGATAGAGAGATCGGTTTGGACGGCGGTTGTCCACCCTCATTATGATCGCGCGAAGACATCGCGATGTTATCTTGGTTTGAAACAAACGGAGTACTTAGTAGGGAAGAGAGAGCTTGAGGAGCAATTGATACTCGAGAGCTCGTGGGCGGTGGCAAAATTGAAGCGCGCGGCTAAACCGGCAGATTTTGTATGGCGGTAATTCAACCTCCTTTGTAGGGCTGCAAGTCTACATACGTACATCTCATGGATATTTATTGTGTGGTTCTTCAACTGAAGTTGAGTTCCTAAGGAAGACTATAACTAAACATGAAGTATATGCGTACAGCCGGGCTCAGTATGATATGTGCCACGCAGACCACCCTTCATGGCTCAACAGACAAACACCAACACAAGGCCGTTGGATACCTCTCATCTGAAGTAACCAAAGACAATAGGCTACACTTCTAGGCAGCCAGATAATCCAGGCAGTGCAGATCATAAAGATGATCTGGGCCTAATCGGGATTTTGACAGTACTCGTAATTGGATTTCCCTTTTCATCGTTAACGTCGTTTCTCGGGGATTCAAATATAGTAGTGAACTACGTGCGAGCCAGCAAAGTGGCCAAGAGACAAGTTTAATGCTACTAGACTGCTCCACCGTCCGGTTACGTAGTCCGGTCTTGTATAGTCCATCTGTTCAGGGACTGTTTTCAGATTTGTTTCTAGATATCCCATGGATATGTTAGGTAGAGTAGAGTCATAAATTCTAGCTTTTTTCATCTCTATCCACTATTAGATGGTAGTATTTCTAAAAATATGCCGACCAGACAAGCATAATAGGACGAAAAGAAGCATAATCCAAGTGGACCCCGATGCCCCACGGGGCGTATTCGTTCAGAAATTACCCGATTAGGAATCTAGAAATAGCCCTAGAGAACTGCATCAGATGTTTATAAGTACCTATAAATCCCACCTCTTCCTCAGGAAGAAAAGACTACACTCTTGTTGCCATCAATAATATGGATATTGTTTTTCACCCCGGCAAAAACGGGACTGATCCCTGGGTAGAGTTCTACCCCTACACACCATCTGCCACGGCTGGGTATGCCTTTATGGGAATCTTTGGGGTTTCAACCCTTGTCCATATCGCGTTGATGTTCCCCTTCCGTGCTGCCTACTTCATTCCACTGGTACTAGGAGGAATTTGTATGATGATACTAGTCCCCATCCACAGAAGATGAAATATCAACGCTAACGATGAACGAAACCAGGCGAGACATTCGGCTATTACGGCCGAGCATGGTCACACCAATCTCGGTTTGATATCAAATCATGGTCCTTGCAAGAGATGCTCATTCTATGTGCACCACCACTTGTGGCAGCTACCGTCTACATGGTCCTCGGCCGCATTATCCGCTCCTTCGGCGCTGAGCATCTTTCAAGCATGCGCCCCAAATGGCTCACCTTTGTCTTCGTTATGAACGATGTCCTCTGCTTCTGTACACAATTGGGAGGTGCAGGTGTCCAAGTTACCGGGGACGAGAAGGTGATGAAAATTGGCAAGAAGGTCGTTTTGGCTGGCTTGATCTTCTCCTTGGTTGTCTTTGCCTGGTTTATTCTGATTGCGGCCAAATTTCATCGACGACTGCAGCAAAATCCCACACCTCTTCTCAATCAGAATTCCGATCTACCTTGGCAGCGATACATGTGGGCAATCTACATTTCTTGCTTGGCTTTGATGGTCCGCAATCTGGTGCGGACTATTCAGTTTGGAGCCGGTCAGAAAACCGATGTCAACACCAAGGAGGTCTATATCTATGTTTTTGACGCCTTCTTAATGTTCTTTACGTTGTTGGTATTGACCATTTATCATCCGGGTCGGCTTATTAAAAATGCTCGTCGCTTGACCAAGGCTGATTTTACGGGAGAACGAAATTCTGCGCATGGGCTGTTGAGTCAATGTGAGATGGGCGAGCGCATGCCGAACAAGTGATTACTGAGGGTTGAACAAGTGGTTGGGGTCTTTTCGTTCCTCTCAATGTATATAGCCAGAATAGAACATTTGAAATCAATAAGTGTTTGCTAGACTAATGTAAGAATAACGATCCATGACCTGAAGGATTGAAGGATGCTCTGAGGTTCAAGTGCATGTCCATGGTACCTTCCTCTTGTACTAAGCCGTTTAGGGAAACCTTCTTCTTCTACTTCTTCTCCTGTCATCTCTACCCTCTTCTTCTCTTCACAACACTCTTCACTAATCTATCTTTCTCGAACTTCTACTTTTTTACTTTCCAGTTTATAATCCCTACTACTCGAAATTCTCTCTACTCGAATACACACACCCGTACTCGCTCACTCCATCGCTTTCAACACTATTCATCCTCCCCCCAAACATGCCTGTCACTCTCACCACGGCCAAACATCCACCGCGTGGATGGGGACTCTGAAGGGTAGCCGACATCGAAGACCTCTTCAAACAATCCTGTCCAAAAGGGCATCGTGATAGTAAAAGGTTGATTGGGAATTCATTCGCTAAAGACTTCTTCGACACATTACACGTCTCCGCATCCGAAAATGGCTTTGTCTGGGCCGTGTTCCACGCCTATAGCCATCACCACAACCTTGTGCTGCGGCCCGAAGATGTGTGGTTCACCATTCTATCACAGCTCAGTTTCTTCGTCATAGCACATTCCGAGGAACTGCGACATCTATTCGTCTCGCATAAAGATAGGAAACACCTAGAGATTATCTCAAATGAGACCATGGACACTGTGGACTTTGGTGAACTGGCATTGGAAATGACCAAGCTTATGGAAGAGCATGTGATGGATCCGGACCTGCGGAGCTGGATCATGCCGGCTTTCAGCACCACGACTGCATCCGATGAAGCGGTAGCAGCTATCGTGATGATGGGCTCTATGCAGAAGTACTTCAAATACCAATTCACTTTACGGTGTGGGATTCCGTCTGTCACTTTGCTCGGCGAACGAGAGTACTGGGCACTTATGGTAACGAAGCTTGCTCGGCTAGCTCAGCTAGGGGATGAGCCTGCTCGATTTGCTCAACTTCTTCGGCCGGTGCTTAATAACTTTGTTGCTTCCTTCGACAACCCCGGAGCATCGGATGTGCTAAGTTTCTGGAGCAAATGTGCAGACAGAAGAGGTGGCGGAAGCGGACCAACTTATCTGACTGGCTGGATATCGGTTTTCTGTTTCTGGGGAGAGGATGGGAAGTTGCTATACCCAGAACAGATACTTCCAATATGCTCGCAAGGCTTTCAGGAACGGGAGACGGAGTTCGGCCTTGATCAGGCCTTGTTACGCTGCATAGACACAGAGAAAGTCCCTCTAGGCTACGTCTCCGTGCCGGTTATAGTTGATAATCTTGGGCACGTATTCGACGCTGTGATGGTGGCTGGCATGATCGGCATACAGGCCATTCCCACCGGGGAGGCCAGACTTGATTCGATTCAGCCAGTGTCCGGGGAAAGAAGAAACAAGAATGTGCCAAAAGGCACAGACCAGTTCACAAATCAGTTTACAAACCACCTAGGGTATTGGATTGGTCGTTGGTCAGACAAGGCAAGTGAAGCAATTGGGTCATTCGGTTACTTTCGTTTCAATTTCGCTTTCGTTTTGAAGATTGGCATTGCAATGCTCAGGAATTCCCTTGGTAGCTAATCAGCAGGGTTATCTCAACCCTCAATTTTGGGAGTCGCTAGAAGAGACAGGTACAATCAACCTTTGTTTTATGTCTATTATCGCTTGAATAGAAGATAATTAAACAGAAAGGCCGGGGAACTACCAAAGAGGGACATTATAGAGCTGATGCTATGTGTATCATTTCATGGGGCTAATGGTAAACTACTGAAGAACAGTTGGCCTGGTGACTATCTAACATGCGTGCGCATGGCGTAGCTTGTTTGAATTTGGTCCTTGGTGTTGCCGCTTTTCCTCTGAACTGGCATTCGTAGGACAAACTGAACAAGTGCTCGCCGGAAGACGGATGTGTTGTTCTTTCATATATCGAAAACATAGCTGTTATCCATACCAGCGACGCAGTTGATACATCTTCGAAAGGCTACACAAAAATCCCATGAAAAACAAACTTCAAACTAATCATACAATTCATATCAATTCCTAGAGTAATCCGTCCGCCCCAGTTTCGCCTATTCCCAATGATACAAGCCCAAACCCAGAATTCAGAGCAGCACTGGTGTAAAAAGAGCCAGTGCACATCAAGTTCAAATAAATGATGAACATCTTTTCAACAAGCCAAAAAAGATAAAAAAACACGCATGCGGTAGAGGTCAACAAATAGGGGTAGGTGTAGGTGACGGTGTCGGTGTCGATGTAGCGCGAGAATCCGAATCAACGGTGAAGGACAAAGTGTAGAAAAAATAAATCAGCGTAAGGGTTGGTGTAAGTATTTACAGACGAAGGTAAAGTGCGGAGAGAAAATAGATCCGCAAAGGTATTGTAGGGGAGGAGAGGAACAAGTTGAGCAAGCTCCTAGCTGGTCGCGGTCTGGGCTGCCGGAGCGTGCGGGCTCTTGCTGGAACCTTGGACGGCGCCAGCTTGGGCACTGCCACTGCGCTGGTTTTGAGGAGTGGCGCTGCGACTGGGCAGAGGTGCAGCACCGTTCATGGCGGGTGAGCTAGTCGGGCCAACGCGGTTTTGTTGACCGGGCTGGGGAACCCGCATCATTGGGGAGAACCCTTGGTTTTGAGGCACCTGCATTCCAGAACCACCGTTCGGAGCCTGGAAGTTAGCCTCATGGGGGGACTTGATAGTTGGCCTGGACAGCATTGGCATTGATGCTACCAGCAGCGGCATTCATCGCTGCTTGTTGGGACAAGCGCTGCTGTTGCTGCTGCTGATACTGGTTGAGTCGATCCGTGGCCAGCTTGGTCACTTGCTCAGGGGGCATATTCGGGTTCGTACGTTGAATCTGGCTTTGGAGAGTGCTGATTTGGGGCACAACGCCGCTCGAAAGAGGGTTGGGCTGACCCATACGAGGCGATGGGGTTGAGACGCCTTGTGGTGTACCACCGTGGAACGATGGACTCTGCATTCCCCCTTGGTTCTGGAGGGCAGCCATCATAGCAGGGTTATTAGGTGTACCATTAACATTTGACATGTTCATGTTCGGCGATCCCTGAGACCCAAATTGCGGGTTGTGGAATTGCTGGCCCTGCTGAGGGTGCTGCTGCTGTTGCCGAGACTGGAGAAGACGCTGCTGCTCTTGCAATCGATTGGCTTCTCGGATCACGCGCGTGTTATCAGGAGAGGCTTGCATTGGCAGGCCTGGTCGTGCCCCTGGCGTTTGCTGCAGTTGAGCTTGCGGCATCATCTTCATGGCCATTCCATTAGGCATCTGACCATTGGGCTGTGCACCATTAGGCATGTTCTGCATTGGGATAGGGCGGGCTTGATTGACACCAGCACTAGGAGGAATGCCGTTCGTCATTCCGTTCGGAGTTCCACCTGGTAGACTAGGATTGGAAGTGGGGGGGCATGGTGTTGTTACGCCCCGGCGCATTCATCATTTGCTGCTGGTTAGGTACTTGGCCGGAACGCTGCGCTGCGAGACTAGCCTATATGGGGGGTAAGCCACAGTGCTTTCAGGTAGGAACGTTAACAACCACTCACTCTTTGCTGCGCAATCATTTGCTGGCGGTACTGTTCCTGCCTTTCCTGCAGCTTCATTTCTCTGTCGTACTTCAGCCGGCTGAACTCAGCCGGTGATGAGATCGGAGGCTTGGGCTGGTTAGCCTCATTGGCTTTGCGCAATGAAGCAAGGTGGGAAGCTAAGAGAGGAAATGTCAGTAGTGTTCTTGCCATGATGTTACGTGTTTCTATTCCAAACATACCATGCTGCTGTTTCTGAAGCATAGTTTCCCGCTTCTTGGCCAGCTTTCGCATGGCATCAAGCAAAGCAAGATGCTTCGAAGATCGTCTCCGGTCAACCCGAAGAGGCTGTGTAGTCCTCCGGCGGACGGGCGGCTGAGGCTGAGCGTTGGCGCCTTGCTGCTGCTGCTGTTGTTGCTGCTGTTGCTGGGCAGCCTGCTGCTGCGCCAAAACAGTGCGCTGGGCAGTCTCAAGCCTCTGGTGGTAAGCTCGGAAGTATTGGGTTTTGGACATATCTGCAGGAAGACCTTCAAGTCCTACCCATCGCTCGAAACATTCCCACGGAGTGCGTCTCTCAGCGCCAGAGGTGAAGAGTGATGGTGGGGTAAGACAGCTGGAAATTAGAGACCAGTTGTAGGAGTACTCCTTGACCAAGCGTCGGAGTTCATCATCCTCAGCGAAAGTCCATTGCGAGGACGAACGTGATTCAAAGAAACCAACAGATGGCATGGGGTGTTCAGTCGGAGGCCGGAATTGATGACCAGGGTGAATCCGATCCCGGATGGGCTTGTTCTCTGGTCGGAACAGCGCAACGTTTGTCTGCTCGGGTGCCAACTCGGTGATCCGATTATCCGAATCATTGCCGTACTGGGAGTAGTCATATCGGCTCCGCTTACGAGGCTGATCGTCATCGTGGAAGGTAATCTTCGCCGATGCAAATTTGGACACTGGTAGTAGTTCCGTCTTCCAAACTGTGTCAGGGGAGACTTTGAATGCCGGTGCGTTCGCGCCAGGGGCGATCTGGAGTGGTCCGTATATCGGCAATTCGTCTAACAGCTTTTCCGCGGCAGGGGTCATGTCAATCGAGAAGTTGAACTCATCCGAGCCCAAGGAGAAAATAGCAGCGGGGGCAACTGCATCATGAATGTCGTGTCGAGGCTCATCATTGAACCCATCACTGACTGATTCTTCCTCGGCGGATGGCATGAGATCTGGAGTGGGATGACAAACACCAAACGCTTCATCACCAACGTCGTCGGAGGGTGGGCTGAGAACCGCCTTAGAGGAGTCCTTTTCTGGCAAGGTTGCCGTTGGAATCTTTGCTTGGACACGAAGTAAGGTCCGATGTTCCACGTCGCTGTTGACATATTCTGCGCACCAATCGGCGCAACTCTTTGCAGCAGCGATCTTCCACTTTCTCTCCTCCCGGAAGTCAGTTCGCATCCACTTCATGTGATCTAAAACAACGTCCCAATGTGCGCCCTGGCGGGGAGGTTCAACAGAGCGTTTTAATTGTCGCAGTGGCCATCGGTTTGCATTTTGAAGAGCATAGATTCGCCGGAGGGTACGGCAATCCATCTGTTCTTGATATTCAAGCAGATGATTACTAGTACTCAAGGTCTTATGCGCGGACGCCAGCAGAGTATTGAGGTTTGTTCCCCGGGGAGGAGCGTACGCTCTGTTCAAGAATAATGTGAAAAGATAGTCTTGCTCCTCATTCAGCTTGGCAACTGCATCCATGTCTCGATGCGTCAGGTCCGTAGAGTCGGCCTTCTCCTGCTGAGCTGGCTGCTTGGGAAACACGACAGTCGAGAGTCGGCTTCTCTCCTTCTCCCGCTCCTTGCGGTCCTTGAAGCGCATCCTCGCGACAGAATCCGGAGAGCCTTGATCAGATGGAGTAACTGGGTGGCTTCTCTCATGAGTGACACTCTTAGGGGTTTCCCCAAGGATCTCGGAAACAGATTTGTGTCGGATGGCTCCTGATGATACTCGAGTAGTCATGCGCTCTGGTTGCGCTGAGCCAGGTTGAGTAGGGGGGATAGAAAGCTTTTTGGCCGTGGGAGTCTCGAGAGTTGAATCTACAGCGACTTCGGCTTGTGCGGTTGGTGACAACGAGTCTTGCACAGTCGTGTGTGGTTCTTGTGGTGCTTTCGCTTCAGAAGGGACGGGCACTGGTTCCTGGTCGACGTCCATGCGATCTGTATCGACCCCGGTGTCCACGCTCTCCACAATCACCTCTTTCGACGAAGGTATGTCGGCGATCACATCATTGACAGGTTTATCCGGTTTCGACTGAGCTTCTTCGAGACGCAATTGCTCGTCTGGGGTTAAGGGAACCAAGCTCGGGCGAGCATGGGCAGATCGGTCATGCTTATGTTTTGGGCGATTAATTGTCCCAACCTCCTCAGTCACTTCTTCTGCGGGGCTTGTGTCGGGTGATGCGGCAACTGGGACGGGTGTATTATTATTGTAAGGGTCAATGGAGGAGGCAGGTGATGGTGGTTGTTCGTGTTGAGATGGTCCCAAGGTAACAGACGGTCGTGCTTCGTGTTTCTTTCGAAGAGTGTCAGAGGGAATCTCCAGTGATGGAACACCAGTCGCAGCTGGCTTCGACACGCGGGGAGAGATCGTTGTGTCATTGTCGTGGGCACTGAGCGACGTTTCTGCTACCGGTACACTAGCTTTCTGTTCGGCGCGCGATGAGTCGAGTGACTGCACAGCGATCGGTGGCACGTCGAGATCCGTTGGCAGCTTAGGGCTGATGGCTGGCACTGATGGCCGACGTGTTCCGGTTGTATCCACGGGGGTAGGTGGGAGATGAGGTGTCGCGGTCTGAGGTTGGCTCAGAACGGGCGTTCCGCGCTGTTGAGGCTCGGTCGCATGCGGAGCTCCGCCATCAACGGTTGAGGGTGGAGTGATCCCAGCGACAGGTTTGGCACTGGTGGTGGGAGCGGTTGTCGGGGGGATCGCATTTCGACTTGGTGAGCGCGCGCGCGCATGGGTTGGCGGTGGAAGAGTAGCTTCATTAAAGTAACGACCTCTAGATAGGGAATCAGCATTGTGAAATTATATACAAAAATAAATAGATGCAAAATAGATTCCACTGGTAGAGAAACAAGGCGATTGGACTTACTTGGAGAGATCATTGGCGTCGAGGAAGGCCTGTTCTTTCTGATGGTAATGAGCGTCCTCGGTCGCGCCAAACCCGACCGTGGCTAGATACAATGCGCTGAGCTTGCGCTTTCTGCGCGACAAACAGTTTCTAACCACCAAATTAGCGACAAATTCATCATTTCTAGGCTTCCCAATCGAATTCCCGCCGTCGAAAAAAATTAATACTTACGCGATCTCATCGTTTTTAGATCGTAGGAGCTCGTCACGGAGCATGGAGTCTAGCTTCGGAACGCAGCATCCGATTAACGCGGGAACAAGGGGAACTAATCGAGCGAGGTCATCCAGATGGAAAAAATCGCTCGAAAAAGATGAAAAAGATGGGTGGAGGGTAGGAGGCGATGAAAAGCACCTGGAGCAGGATCTTTTCGAAGGGGGTGAAAATGAGGTTACAGGGCGGTATGAAAAATGTGGAAGAACGGGAAAGATGTTGGTTTAGGTACAACCAGTTACTCGCTCCCTCTATAAAAAATACACGGCTTGGCCAGGTACCTGGTACTTCTGAAAAATTCCCTTTGATGATGGAGGAAAAATGGAATGTGATATTAACATGGGGATACAAGAATGATATCTACTTTAATGAGCTATAATATGGTTGTCAAAGGCTTATGTATTTTGAAAAGGCTGCTCTCATCAACTGGTAACGCACTGTATTATTGTTCTGACATTCAATTCTCCGCTTGCGTATGTGAGGCCTCAGGCATAATATATTAGACACCTCATATATATGGCAATAAGGCATTTATCACAAGGCACCTATTTCCTATCAAGGCGGCCGATAAACCGCCGGCAGAAAATCAAGAAAAAAAGGTGTCCGCCCTCCAGATCAAGCTTTCACATCTACAATATAACAAAACCACAATCATTATTTGAGCAACATCATGGTGAAACGCAAGAGAACCGATGCCCCCCAAGGAGGACAAGACGGTTGCTACCCCTCCTAAGGCTACCAAATCCGCCCCTACTCCCTCAGAGACTCCCGATGCAGCTTTCACTATCCAAGTTGTTACAGGCTCTTATGAGCGGGTTCTCCATGGCTTCACCGTTGGTATCCCAGCCTCCAGCCTGAAAACAAAGGCTGAGGGTGATTCTCCGGCCATCCAATGCATGGATACTTTCCTATTCGAAGCCCATGGATCTGCAATTCGTTGTCTAGCCTTGTCACCACTACCTAAACCCACCGATCCTGTCGATGCCCAAAAGGTGATGCTGGCCAGTGGTAGTACAGATGAGCGCATCAACTTGTATTCGATCTCCGCCGCACCCCCTGCCGTGAATGAAGAATATCCGTCCGTCCCGACCTTCGCCGGAAACAAGATCCTCGAAAACCCCAGGAATCGTGAGCTAGGATCATTGTTGCACCACACTGCCAGTATTACCTCGTTGAGTTTCCCTTCGCGAACAAAGTTACTCGCAGCCGGAGAGGACAACACAATCTCGGTTTCCAAGACCCGCGACTGGACCGTCGTATCCACTATCAAAGCACCAAACCCAAAAATTCAAGGACGGCCAAGCGGTGATACGGCGCCTCCCGGAGCTGCTCCATCTGGAGTGAACCACTTTGCAGTGCACCCTAGTATGAAGCTGATGCTGAGTATTGGACGAGGAGAGAGATGCATGAGATTGTGGAATCTCGTGACCGGCAGAAAGGCTGGTGTGTTGAACTTCACCAGGGAAGTCCTACAAGGTGTCAAGGAGTCGAGATGGAGCACAGGAGAAGGTCGGCGCATTGTATGGGACTCTGAGGGAGAGGAATTCGCTGTTGCTTTCGAATGGGGTGCAGTCGTGTTCGGAATCGTAAGTTATCTGGATGGTATACCATTGATCAAATTTCTGACTATTAGCACAGGACTCGATTCCCAGGTGCAGACTTATCCCTAGCCCACGGAGCAAACTTCACCAGATGAAGTATGTTTCTTTGCCTTTGAAGGGTGGTGAAAAGGAAGATTTCTTGGCTGTCTCTACGGAGGATGGCCGAGTGATCTTTTATTCGACCAAAGAACTGAAAAACGCGGAGGATGATACCGAATGCTCAATTCCTCATGCTACGTCTGTTGCCCAGGTTGGTGGAAAGCAAGCTGGGTTCCCTGGCCGCATCAAGGATTTCGAAATCCTCACTCTTGAGGGTCAAGCAAAGGAATTCCGCAACGACTTCTTGGTCGTCACCGCCAACAGTGACGGAGTTGTCCGTGTTTGGAAGGTTGGTGGAAAAGAAGTTTCCGCAGCAAAGCAAGAAAAGAAGGATACGACTCAGATTGGGAAGCTCTTGACGACAAATGAAACTGGTAACCGCATCACATGCATGGCTGCCTTCGTCATGTTGCCTGCGGAGGACCCGTCTACACTGATAGACTCCGAAGACGACTCTGAAGATGAAGTGGAGTCATCGAGTGATAGTGACGATGAGTAACCTCATTGTTCTCAACTGTTATACCCTTTATACCGTCAAATAGATCCCCAGTGGCAAACAATGTATCATGAATATGAAAAGAACTTGAGATTATTGCCCTAGAAAATAATTATGATTATGTTTTCAAACATTTTTTCTTTTCAATATGAGTATTCAACTCACCTAAGAATCATTTAACGTACAACATATGGTACTCCTGTCACTGCTCTATAAACCTGGTGTGGCGCACTTGATGGTGTAGTTGTCAAGGATTTTCTTAGACAAAGAGGAATGAGTCACCCACAATAAACCAAGAGACATAATGCCTGAAACAAACGCCTAATTGAATTATATTATCTAGTCTACTTACTAAAAGTGTTATAACGTAGGAAACGTAGAGTTGCCATCCAGACACCGCCCGGCTCTCCACTACACACAATCCCCCACCTACATTCTTTCATTATCATATCGCGGGAAGCAATTTTCACCCGACCTTCCACCATCCCACAAGCTTCGTCTAACCACTTGCGTTTTCATTCAACGCTGCTGTTAATCGCGAGTTGATTTTCTACTCTATTTCGCAATTATGGCATCAAACGGCGACTTCTCTGACGAGGGATCCCAGCCCGGCTCACCTTTACTCGATGCCCACAATGCCCGCGGAGAGGTCGAGGACCAGGAGCCCCTTGAGCAGGAAGAGAAACCTCTCAAGTCTGCCATGAAGAAGTCTGAGCCTGCTCCTCAACCGAAGCGTCCAGAACTCCCCGAGCAGCCCAACCCGGAAACGCTCGATCTCTCAAAATTGACGCCTCTTTCGCCTGAGATTATTGCCCGGCAAGCTACTCAGAACATCGGTATGTGACCGTTAGATTTTGAAAGCTTCTGCGTTCAGAAACACCCTCCATTCATTGGATTCAATTTTGCTATATAACAAATTTACTGACGTGATTATCAGGCACGATCGGACATGTCGCTCAGTTAGACACCTTCCCTCGCCTTTTTCTTCCTACATGCATACTAATACAATCTTAGCGGCAAATCCACCGTTGTCAAGGCCATCTCGGAGGTTCAAACCGTCCGCTTCAAGAATGAGCTTGAGCGCAACATTACCATTAAGCTTGGTTACGCCAATGCGAAAAATCTACAAGTGTGACAGCCCCGAATGCCCTCGGCCCACATGTTACAAGAGTTTCAAGAGTGAGAAGGAGATCGATCCGCCATGTGAGCGTGAAGGATGTACAGGCCGTTACCGGTTGCTGGTAAGTACACCTGCTCCTTCCCCTCTGAAGTCCAACTCAGAGCCTTTCCTCAAGTGGACCTAATCTAACCTCTGATACAGCGCCACCTCAGGTACCACCAATCCCCAATCTACCTCCAACCTGGAGTTCCATCCTTTATTTATTGGGTATAAGCTAACCTTTAATCTAAAAACAAAAAGTTTCGTTGACTGCCCTGGTATGTTTGCTAGATCCTCTCTGTCCAAGGTTGGAACACTGCTAATCTTCAATCATAGGTCACGATATTCTGGTTAGTACTTATCCTCTTGCGTATCTTGGGAGACTCAGCTTTCTCTTTGGGTTCGATGCTAATCAGCTTTGCACAGATGAGCACCATGCTTTCAGGAGCCGCGGTCATGGTAGGTTTCATTCTCCACCACTGCAGCAATTAGGATTTCAAGGGATTGATGATAAGCTAACATCATTTTTCTAGGATGCCGCTCTCCTCTTGATTGCCGGAAACGAAACCTGCCCCCAACCCCAGACCTCGGAGCACTTGGCCGCCATTGAAATTATGAAACTCAACCACATCGTCATTCTCCAAAATAAGGGTAAAACCATAGTTCTTGCCAAACTGTCGATGGAACGAAGCGCTGACGTTTGGAAATAAAACAGTTGACCTCATGCGAAGCGATAATGCCCTCGAGCATTACCAGTCTATCCTCAAGTTCATCCGTGGTACCGTTGCCGATGGATCGCCGGTCATCCCTATTTCCGCACAGCTGAAGTACAACATTGACGCTGTCAATGAGGCCCTTGTCCAGACCATCCCTATTCCCCTTCGCAACTTCGAGGCTACGCCTCACATGATGATCATTCGTTCCTTCGATGTCAACAAGCCCGGTGCCGAGATCGATGAGCTCAAGGGTGGTGTTGCCGGTGGTTCCATCCTTACCGGTGTTGTAAAGCTGAACGATGAGATCGAGATCCGCCCCGGTCTCGTCACCAAGGATGAGCAGGGCAAGATCCAGTGCCGTCCCATTTTCTCTCGCATTGTGTCTCTCTTCGCTGAGCACAATGACCTCAAGTTTGCCGTTCCCGGTGGTTTGATCGGTGTCGGTACCCGCGTCGACCCCACGCTTTGCCGTGCCGATCGTCTTGTCGGTTTCGTTCTCGGTCACCGTGGCCGTCTTCCCGCGATCTACACTGAGATTGAGGTCAACTACTTCCTGCTCCGCCGTCTTCTGGGTGTCAAGACCGCCGATGGCAAGCAAGCCAAGGTTGCCAAGCTTGCTAAGAACGAAGTCCTGATGGTTAACATCGGTTCCACCGCTACTGGTGCCAAGGTCCTCGGTGTCAAGGCCGATGCCGCTAAGCTCAGCTTGACCAGCCCCGCCTGTACGGAAGTTGGCGAGAAGATTGCCATCAGTCGCCGAATCGAGAAGCACTGGCGTCTGATTGGATGGGCCAACATTGTTGCGTAAGTCTACGGGTTTGGTATTACTTCTAATGACAAATGCTGACTGTTTCGATTCTCAGTGGTAACACCCTCGAGCCCGTGCAGCAGTAAAGCAATCCTTTCAACGATTTCCCAGTTCGAAATGGGGAGCTTGGGGAATGAGGTCTGTCATGTCGGGGAATTTGATTTGCACATAACACTTGCTACCTATATCCCCGGACAACGACCTCACCCCGACCCTCGGACACGAGTCTTGCGATCTATGATTGCAAAAAAGTTTTATGGTCATAACGAATCAGAGAATTAAAGACGTGATTTAACTGATTCACCGGCTGAATAGAGAAGATGGAGGAGGCATGCAACGCTGTATTGTCGCCACCTTGATCGGTTTACCTGCTTCATGCATGTCAGCGACCACTTTATCTGGTCTGCGACTGCGTGCTACGGTTTGATCTGAGGGACGGACGACGAACGAGGTGCAGGTGAAGTCGGCGAATAAGATATGTGCTTTTTATTTCCATCGTACGAGGGAGTTGTTTTCAAGAGGTTTCCTGTTCATTGCTCGGTTTTTTGTCTGCATCATCGGATCTTATGTAGATAGGCCTATAGGTACAGGTCTGGGGTTTAAAATGCAGGGAAGTTAGGACCTGCACAGTTTTAAGAGCTTCTGCATGTTTAGTCTATTTACAGATGGGCTTTTCGTCTGATGAGAATACAAAAACATTTGCAAATGAGGTCGATGCTCCCACTAGATCGTCCGCATGTCGGATGTATATATTCCGCGACTATGACTACCACCACTTGATATTTCCTCACAACATGATGACCATGCACGCTAAGCCACCAGGTATTGTAACATACAGGGAAACTCAGGCTATACTAACATTCAAATATAGATGACAATCTACAATATTCGACTATTGTACTGATCGACCGTTGTAGCAGCCCTGCCCAGGTGCATCAGCACAAGTTATTTATTTTTAATGTTGGCAGACTAGAATTTAATTAACTCATATTAATCCCTTCATCTCGCACCTCAGATATTCGGTTTAAAATGAACAAGACCCTAGTCAATATAGGCCCAATTCCTGAGATGAACGTTGCGTTAGGCCCCCCGGGGCCACATGCAGGAGATCTGACTAAGGCGGCCGATAATAACAAAGTAGCATCTTCTGCCTTGAACAACGCCCTCTTTCTTCGCCTAGTTGCGCGTTTTCAATCATGTATATCCTCGAGGTAAGTTGTTTTGATTGAGATATCATCATGTTTCCAAGGTGAATGTGCTTTCTATCGTGGACATGTCGCTAATGACTGTCTTCCTGCAGCAATTGGCGCGCTTGCTCGATCGCCCGTTCTTCCCATGGAAGAACGTGCTTGTGGGCTTTTCACTGGGCCAGTTCGTCCTTGAAGGTTTCCTCTCACTTCGGCAGTACAAGTTTTTGCAACGGACGAAGCCTCCCAAGGTTCTCGAAGGGGAGGTTACCCAGAAGGTCTTTGACCAGAGTCAGGTATGAACCCGATCACAGAGCATTATGCCGTATACAGAGGCTCATTGGAATATCATCACAGGCATACGGTCGCGCAAAGGCCAAGTTCAGTTTCGTTTCCGGTCTTTACGGTCAAATTCAAAACCTTGCATTCATTTACGGCGATGTTCTCCCTAAGCTCTGGGGCCTCAGCGGTCTGCTGCTGGCTCGGTACCTTCCTGGTCGGTTCCAAGGCGAAATATGTCAAACATTGGTATTCTTCTTCGGTTTCAACATTTTAAGCACTATCCTCTCGCTGCCCGTCTCCTATTACAACACGTTTGTGCTCGAGGAGAAGTTCGGTTTCAACAAGCAGACGGTTAAGCTCTGGATTACGGATATGCTCAAGGGTCAGATGCTTGGAATTGTTCTGGGAACTCCCATTATCAGTGCCATTCTCAAAATCGTCCAGAAGTTCGACAGCTCTTTCTACTACTACCTCTGGCTCTTCGGTGTCTTCCTCCAGGTCTTCGCCATTACTATCTACCCTATTGCCATTCTACCTCTGTTCAACAAGCTCTCGCCTCTTCAGCCCGGTGAACTCAAGACCGGCGTCGAGAACCTGGCCAAGAGACTCAACTTCCCTCTCTCCGAGCTGCACGTTATTGACGGCAGCAAGCGCAGTGCCCACAGCAATGCCTACTTCTACGGCCTGCCATGGAAGAAGCACATTGTCATCTACGATACTCTGATTGAGAAGACCGAGCCTGAGGAGGTTGTTGCTGTGCTGGGCCATGAGCTTGGCCACTGGAGCCTCAGCCACACCACCAAGCTGTTCGGCATTGCCCAGGTACGAATTTGCTCAGTTGCTCTTTTGGCGAATTGTCACTAACTATGCAATCCAGGCCCACATGTTCTACATCTTCGCTCTCTTCTCCGTCTTTGTCAACAACAAGTCACTGTACCAGTCCTTCGGATTCATCAACGAACAGCCTATCATGATTGGTTTCTTGCTCTTCTCCGATGCCCTGGCTCCCATGGATGCTGTCGTGAAGCTTCTCATGAACATCCTCAGCCGGAAGTTCGAATTTGAGGCCGGTATGTTCCGTTTAACCTGTCACATATATCCTCGGTTTTACTAACAATACTCCCCAGATGCATTTGCCCAGAACCTTGGTTACTCCGACAAGCTTGCGTCCTCCCTCCTGAAGCTCCAGATCCAGAACCTGAGCACTATGGACGCCGATCCGATTTATGCTAGCTACCACTACTCCCACCCCATCCTCACCGAGCGTCTTGCCGCGCTTGGCTGGAAGGGTGGCAAGGTCACCAGCAGCAAGGAGGAAGACAGTGAGAAGCCTGTCAAGGCCGCGGACCGCGAGCTATAAACGGGGTGCGTGTTATTGGTGACTTTAATATGATATGGACGTGATTTTTTTTTGTGCCAGTGATATCTTGGAATATCAATCTCGAGAAGCAAAAACGAGGCTTGGAAATGTTCCATTATGTATTGATTGGATTGTAGCAATCCGTCTAAACTCTAAATAACAAATTTTGTCCAGACATGAAATGCGAGTACTTTTTTGTACGTCCAGAACCTAACCCAGCCCAGAGGAATAGAGCAATAGAACGAATGAAAGACAAGAGACTCCGACCCAATGCAGCAACGCCCACAACCAAATATATACCCACATACTCAATCGGATTCCTCAGCTTTCGCCTGGGCCTTACTCTTCTTCTCCGCCAACCGTCTCTCCTTCTTCTTCCGCTTGCGCTCCTCCTTATCAATACCAGCCTCCTGATCCGCGAAAGCCTCAGCCTCAGCGCCAAACTCAGCGTCATTCATGACAAGATCATTGCTATCGTCCAGCTGGTCCTGGTTGTTGGTTTGCGGAATACCCGCAGCAACATCCAAATACTCTTCTCCGGGGTTCTGCTTCGCGACAGTCAGATCGCGACCGAGGAGTTCGCCGGCTAGACCCGCTTGCACGCGCTTCAGGTTGTGGAGGATCAAATTCGGCGCTGCGGCGGTCGTCCGTGAGACGGGGCCATGCTCGCTGATGCTGGCGTTGGGTTGCAAGGATGGGTCTGTCGCGGCGCGGTCCAGGTAGGCAGCGAGAAATTCTTGCGCGGCGGACTGGCTGATGGTCTGTGTGCTTTGCACTGTGACTGGGGGGGAGGGCCTGGGGACCTTGGGTTGCCATTTTGGTGGAATTGGTATTCTTCGCCGGGTTTGGTGGGCGGTTTTTGAGGTTGAAGGGCGGTGGTGGTGCCGATTATGGAGTGGTTTGGCCCGGTGGTGGGATTGATAGGGCCGGGAGTAGAGATTCTCTCGAGTTCAGGGTCACTTTGCGAGCAGGATGGAGAGTTGCACGGGCGACGTTGGACATTTCGCATCTCGAGATCAAAAAAGTTCGGTGACGCTAGTCCCGATCGGGTAGGTCTTCTTAACGGGATGCGCTGCAAGTATAGTTTGATATTTATTGACAGATAAACGAACGTAGTTATATAGTAGTTATAGAATTATAAGTAGATCGTACACCAAACATCGACCAATTGCATATTCTATATATATCCTAAGTAATTAACTGTACATCCTTGTAGACATACACCTCTAGGCGGGTCCGTGCCAGCGGCTCCGCGCTTAATTTTCTGTCCTCCGACGCCGCGTCTTGTCCACCAGGCCTGACTCGATCTCCAACTCCGAAAGCTCCCACCCCACCCTCAATCGCCCTCGAACAAAGCCAGGGTCCTGAAAATGTTTTGCCTCCGCGCCAGGGTCGTGCCCTCAGCCTTCCGGGCCACCACATCGGCAATGCGAACCCCGATGAACAGGTACGCAAAGCAGCCAATCTTTCCAACCTCTATACCAGACAGCTAACACTTCTACTCCACCTTGCAACAGATTCGCCCAAATCCCGCAACAACCAAGCACACCCTCTACGATGCTCTCATCCCGATCCTTCTCCTCCCTCCTCTCCACGCCAACCCGCTTCCAGCCCTCGCGAACACTCGGCAGCCACCTCTCCTCGCCAACCACAACCGCAACCGCAACCGCAACCGCCTTCTCACCCTTGTCATCACTCCTCTCCCAGAAGGCACCCTCGCAGACCCGCTCATTCTCCGCAAGTTCCTCCCTAGGCGTGCGCCGTGTGACGTTCCGTCCGTCACGACGGGTCCAAAAGCGCCGCCATGGATACCTGGCGCGCAAGAAGGACAGAAATGGACGTAAGACTCTTATCCGGAGGACTCTTAAGGGCCGGAAGGAGTTGAGTTGGTGATTTATTCGCTTGTGTGTCTGACCTTTCAATCGTTTCGGGGTTGTTGTGGAAGAGGACGGGATTTATACCACAGAGGACTAGAGCGTCCTGGATTGTTTGGAATCTATAACGGCTCACGGCGATGGCCGGAAGGCAGTAGAGGGCCAATTACCGATACATCCATTCTTGGAACTATTGAAGTCTTCAAGATTGGGTCCGGGTTCAGGCAGGACAGTTGCTGGCGGGTCTTGTCTGGCGTGTACCATATTTACCTCTCCCGAGGATGTGTGTGACTACATTTCATATAGTGCGAACTTTCAGATTTCTTTGTTTCAGTCGAGATCCCGGCGTTTACTGGGTTGCAGCTTGTTTGCAGCAAGTAAAAAGAGTAGATTCATCACTGTCTACGTTGCGTAGAGTCTCTTGACACCACAATTCCGTCTATGTGATCTACCTAGCTACCCGTGTATAGATCGTTCATCAAACATATCACTCGCGTTCGTCTTCGCTACCCTCCGATCCAGTCTCGGAGTCCTCGTCATCATCGTCATCGTCCTCATCTTCTTCCTCGTCGCCAACCTTCAGGCCATAGTCGTCCTCGAATTCCTTAAGAGGCTGAACTGTGGGAGTGAAGCCGGAAGTTTCGAAGCCCTGCTTGATGGTCTGTTCGCAATAAAAGTTAGCAATCCATACATATATCTGTCAATTGAATACCGGGGAACAACTCACCTCTTCCAACACAGTCGCGCAGGTGACAACCAGGTTTGCAGTCTTCGGATCAAACAACGGCAAGATAATCTCACGCAGAGCACCCTTGATTTGATCGGTGGTGATGGCGCGCACATGCTTGAGCATCTTCTCCTTATAATCGCTGGGCAAGTTGCGCACGACCTGGCGGATGAAACTGCCCTGGGCAGCATTGGCGGCTGTCATCTGCTCATTGGCGTAGTTGACCACGATGCTGCTGATAGCACCCTCTAACATCAAAGGATCGAAAGGCGTAGCACCGGACAGATAGTTCTCAACAATCTGCTTGCTAGACTCGAACGCCTTGTGGGCGTTCGGAGACCGGTACACGTCGAAGTTGACGAAGCCAGTGTCGATGTTGTAACTGAAATTGGTGCCGTATGCCAGACCAGTGCCGCGGACAGCAACCCAGAGGGGACCCTCGACGGCGTTCATGTACGAAATCGCGACCAGCAGGGCGGGCAGGTCCGGGGAATCGTACGAGTCCAGACCACGGGCGGTAGCGTAGGCGAAAGACGAGTCGACAGTCGGCATGGGGACAATGTAAGACTTGCCGCCAATGTTCTTGCCGGCCTCGCTCAGCCGGGACCGCCGGTCAGTGATAGGAAGCAACTCAGTGCTGGTGCCGAGGGTCTCAGCGAAGGGTTTCCAGGCAGAGACTGGGTTCTGGAGTTTCTCGAGATCGGCAATGACAATGACGCGCACGTTGTCGGGCCGGAAGAGCGAGCTGCGGATCTCCTCCATGCGGCTTACGATTTCCTCGGGCTTCTCGGCGAGCAGACGCTTGACGCGCTTGAGGTAGCGAGCCTTCACCAAAGTAGAACGAGCACGGGTGATCGACTCCTCCGCGTAGTGAACCATCACATGTGCAGCAGCAAGCATGTCGTCACCACTGCGCTTGGAGTCGGGCACGTCGGCCAAGAGACGGGAGTTGATAGCCCGGAGTCTCTCCACGTCGAAGACGGACTTCCAGCATAGCTCCTGCAGCCAGGCGACGGCGTTCGCATACTTCTCCAGCTCGACCTGGAAGGAGATACGGAGCATCTCTGAGTTTCCAAGACCGCGAGCGGTCTCCATCGAGTATCCGACGGTGTCTCTCTCTAATTCCACCACGACCTGCTCAAAGTCAATTACCTTGCCATCACGCTGCACCGGAATGTTGAAAAACGCCTCGGTATAGATGGACAGCAATGGACGCAACTGAACGGGCACAGCATCAGCTGAGATGAGAACTGAAAGCTGGACAAAGCTACTAGGGATGTGCTCGAAGTGGATGAAAAGGGACTGGTCAGACTTGTCGGCATCAACAATGGGTTGGATCTTGTTGTTGGGGCGTCCAGCCTTCAGGGCAGCACCCGAACGAGCCGTAGTGGTCTCCATGAAGTGGATTGACTCGGTTCCGGGGATAGTGAACTCTTCCAGCAATTCCTGTGGAATTTCCTTGTCGTTCTCTGCCATGGCTTTTTCGAGTTTGTCGGCAAGCTCCTTCAGGCCCTTCTCGCCGAGGCGCTCCTTCTGCGCAGCGGCCCGGTCCTCCTCGTCCTTTTTCAGTGTGGCAGACATCTTCTGGGATGGGATACCCAAGATAGTGACATGGGCCGCATCCGAGATCCATTTCTTGATGAAAGAGCGCCACTGGTCCTCGGACCAGGTCTCAAGGACATCATATTCCCTCAGAGTTGCAACATCCATCAAAGTCGAGCCATCACGCTTTCCGAACAGGAAGTCAGAGATAACGTACTCTGCGAATGAAGAGGCAGAAGACTCAGTCGAGAACTTCCAGGTTCGGCGCTGCCGGGCGATGCACTCTTTCAAGTATTTCAGATCTAATTCCTTGGCCATCGCATCTTGGAGGATCTCAAAGAATCTCTTCTCAACGCTCTCCAGCTTCTCTGTTTCCACGCTGGTCAATGTGAAACGAACCTCCATGCTAGGGTGATCCTCAGTTGCGTAGTAAACGGCACTGGCGAGCTGTTCTTTCTCAACAATGATGTTCTCTAGCAGGGCTGCAGATGAACCGGCCAGGTACAGAAGGGACACATTAAGAGCCCCGGCTATAATACTGTCAGTATCTTATTTCAAACTTTCACGCTTGGGATCTTACATAGGACGGGGTCAGTGCAGTCAGGTCCCATGAATCGAATTTCAATTTCACCAAATGATTCATCCTCTTTGGGGAACTCAACCTTCTGAATAACGGACTTCTCCAAGTAGGGAGCCTGCTTGGAATCCACCCAAGGTCTCTTGAATGGTGCATCCGGGCTAGGGATGACATCCAAGATAGTGTCTTCGAACTTATCCAAGATCTCCAGCATGTTGTCCTGGTCGACTTCTCCAGTGAGGATCAGGCACAGGTTCTTGGGCTGATACATCTCACGGTGGAACTCGCGAATTCGTTCCGCAGGTAGGACACGAAGCTGTTCCATCATACCTCCTGTCTCATAACGGAAGCCCACGCCAGGCGGGTAGGTCAACCGCCGGGCTGCCAGGTCGATCAGCTCAGCGGCATTGTTCTGCACACCCTGCATCTCGGAGTACACGACACCGGCATCATTTCCAGAGCCATCGACGTGGTGAACTTCAGTGTAGCAGCCTTCGTCAGTGAGAGTAGGAGCAATCACATGCTCCAGGTAGACTGGCAGGATACGAGCGAAGCCTTCCCAGCCCGCGGTATCCAGCGTGTAGGCAGTGTGATCAGTTGCCGTCCAGGCATTGGTGCTGGAGTACACACGGGTAGCCAGCTTATCCAGGAAGCCCTTGTAGCGGTAATTGCGGGAACCCATGAAGCACAAGTGCTCCAGAGTATGAGGAGCACCTGAATCATCGTGGATCTCGGTGGCAAGCACAAAGTAACCGTTCACTTTGGGACCCGGCTGGTCGATGACGACCACTCTCATGCCGGTGCGCTGTGATTCATACTGAGTGAACTCGCTCGGCGAGTAATCAGGCTTGAACTGCTGGAGCAGTTTGAAGTGACTCTTCTGCACCGAGGGGGACATATTGATCAATGGGACAGACCCAGTGAAGATATTTCGCCGTAGGTTTGACAGCCTGGTGGTATTCGTTAGCAATTTGTGTCCACTAATTGAGAATTTGATACAGTCTTGAGCACATAAACACATTCACAATCAGGAATAGTCTGATAACAAGTACAACAATCACAACTCGGACAAGAGAAGAATATTTACTCCGAGCTTAGGTCAAATAGAATGCGAACAAAGGCCACAACAAGCAAATCCTTTCCAATCATGCCCTGAAAGGACATATCCAGCAGACCTGCGACATATCGCCAAGGATAAGTGGCATAGGTGGGGTGGCGAGCAGAAATTTGGGGGTAGAAGGTTGATACACTTAATACACCCCTAGGCAATAAGACCTAAGAACGCGATT